TTAGGCCCGAACCCTATGGGATCGGGCCTAAACCGGCAGTTGGACATCCCTTGAGGGGTCCCAGATTGGAGAGGGTGCAGGCTGGGATGAGGAACCCCCCCCTCATTCCCCTCAGTGCATAAATTTCATGCACTGAGCCTCTAGTTTATAATAACAACTCTTAGCGTATTAGGAATAGAATTTTTATACCTTTTATACCCTTTATGAGGTTATACCCTTTCTAATAAAGGGTATAACCTCATAAAGGGTATAAAGGGTATAAATGAAAAACTCGACATCATACTTAATGGTGAAAACTAAATGTTATTCCCCTAAAATTGGGAACTATTCAAAAGTGTCTGCCCTCACTACTCCCATTCAACATTTCCTTGGCTACTAACTAATGCAAAATGGCAAGGGGAAAAAGACATTGTGATTGGTAAGGAAGATATACTGCTGCCTTGGCTTTCAGAAGACATGGTAGTGTACAAGGAAAACCCTGAGACAGCTACACTAATAAAAGAGTAACATGCTAATTGACTGTACCTTTGTGACACCCACCAGCCAATCAGGAGTGAGTATGCAAATTAACCAAAGATGGCATATCTATTTGCATATGCAGGCACTGAGTGGCCTGGGCAGGGAAGGATGCTTGCATCATCGCCATGGTGATGACGCAGGCATTCCACACCACCCCAGCTGCTCTGTCTACTCTGGGCAGCATGGGAAGGTGGAAAGGCAGCTCTGGCCAGAGCAAAGGCGGTGCTGGCAGTCAGGGAATGAAGGCCCATTCTTGCATGAATCATCGAGCATTGGGCCTCTAGTGTAAATTAAAGGGCCAATATAAAAATATCAGCTATGTTTTCCTGTACTAGCAATGAACAATATAAAATTAACCATTTTAAGTACCACTTAAAATAACATTTAAAATATTAAATATGTACCTATGAACCCTCTGGGGAACTTATACAGAAAAATATGGCTAAGTCCCACTCAGGAATGTTTGGTGTTAGGAAGGACCCAGACTTGAGAACTACTGGCTCGACCCACCCAGCCACACCTCAGGTTTTTTCCAATCAGCAGCGGTAGTAGTTCTCCAGTTAACCAGCAACCTTTACAAACAAAGTTCTTCTCTTTTGTCTTAAACTCAGAGAGCATAACAGGACAAGAGAAATAATGAATAGAATCCCTTCAGTATTCCATACATATTTTCTCATTTAAATCCTTACAATAGCCATGTCAGGTAAGTCAAGTTGATTGTAGGTAGCATCCTGGACCTACAGATAAGCTGTCCACAATTTCACACAGAGAGTAAATTCCTATATATTCTAAGTCTATGATCTTTAGGGATTGACTCCCAGTCAGGCAGAGAGGTTGCCAGTCGGGCATGTATGGGAACGATTGACGTTCCTCTCAATTGATGTTTCTCTTTCCCTTCCCCTATCCCGAAAATTATTAAGTATGTTCTCGGGATTAGGGGGGAAAATGCAAAATCTGACACTTTTCCCATAAGGACTCAGTAGGTATTTAATTATTGGGACCGACTTAAGACTGGAGGAACTGAGTTAAGGGACAGGACAGCCTAGCAAGGGATAGAAATATAGGCAGAAGGGTCTTTAATTGTTCTTCATGTGTTTGAGTTTGGAAATTTTTCCTTGATACTTAAGCTTTCCTCTTTTTTTAAGTTATTTTTGGCATGTGTAGTTTCTGACTTCAGTGTGTTGCCCAAGCTTACTAAGACTGTCTCTTTCTTGAATCACTGTGAGCTTTTGCTCCTAAATCATCAAAACTTTCCACCTTATGACGAAACCTTTGGATTGTTCATCCAGTACATGAATAGCAAAATTTCTTTTCTCTTGGTTTTGAGGAACCCTGCTTTCTTTGTAAAATCTCTAACTTTGGTCTTCACAACTGACCATCCAGATCTCTGTAACTGGTGCCCCTGAACCTTCAGCAGTTACTTCCAACATCAATGCCGTATCACAAGGTGGTTTTGTCAGGTTTTCTCAACTTAAAAACTTAGATTTTTGATTTGTTCAAATTATTCTACACATATAGACAGTACGTATGGGTAATTATTATTTTTTTTAATCAGGTTGCCTTGGTATAGCTTTTTCAAGAGGTCACTTCTCAAGATGCCCATCTGAAAAAGGGTAAGGCAGTAATTAGTACCTATGGCTATGCAGGATTCTTGTGTATTAGGCAAGTGAATGCACTTAAAATACTTAGCATACTGCACATAAAGTGCTTAGCAGATGTTAGCAACAATGTACCCAAACATCAATTCTCCATCTCGAACAATTAGCTTCTCAACCCGACAGCCCCTTTCATGCTGATAGCTGTATTATTATAGTCTCTCAGGTGACAGGAGAGAACGTGTGCATGAGTCAGTTTTCTACTGTTAAAATCTCAGGATATTGTGCTGTGAATATTTTCTTTCTTTTTTTTGCTGATCATTGTTTCCCTAAAAAAAAAAAAAAAAAAAAAATATATATATATATATATATATATATATATATATATATATTTTTTTTTTTTTTTTTTTTTAGGGGAGAAGGGGTTAGAGATCAACCCAAGAACTTACATGCATGCATATTTGCATAACCGATGGACACAGACACTAGGGCAGTGGGGCTTGTCCTGGGAGTTCGGAAGTGTGTGTGGCGGGTGTGTCTGTGAATCAGGGGAAAAGGAGACATACTTTAAACAAAAGAAAACGTCACAGCTCTGGGGGAAAAATTTTTTTTCTTTATTTCAGAGAGAAAGGGAGAGAGAAACATCAACAATGAGAGAATCTTTGATCGGCTGCCTCCCCCAAATCTGGGTATGTGCCCTTGACAGGAATTGAACCCGGGGACCCTTCAAGTCTGCAGGCTGAAATTCTATCCACTGAACCAAACCAGCTTGGGAAATTTTCATTTTTTTACTGTACATTTCCTTTCCTTTTTGTTAAATTTTCATTTACATTTCATGTCCTTTTTAAAAAAAAGTATTTATAGACAACACATTAGACATGTACTATATATAAGAAAGGTTAAAACAGGATCATTTGGGGGTCTGGAACATATTCAGTTTATATTATTGATAATGGGGAAAAATGATTTAGTTTTCAAATAGCCTTCTGGAATGAATTAAGTTTGTAAAACGAGGTTCCACTGTAATTGCTTGTGATCATTCCATTCTACAAAAGAGCAAATGGACTGCAAGTGATATAATAACCCAAGTCACAGAAGGCAAAGATGAAATTAGTTTATTCCTATATTGAGGTGTTTATGTGCTGTTGTACAGTGTGGGGGATCAGGAAATGAAATAACACTCCACACACACACACACACACACACACACACACACAGTCCACTTGCTCCCATGGTTGTAGGGTTGGGAAGGGCAGCAAGGGCTCTATGAGATCCAGAGCAATACACAAAGTGCCCATTCTCCAAAGGGCCAAAGACCAGGCTGTGGTGGCTGCCCACAGCACTCAGAAGTCTGAGCCATCTCATGGGCATGACCACATCCACACAGTGACATTCCTAAGAACCTGAATAAAGACGCCTCTTCAAATAAAAAGGTGACCTCAGACCTGAGATCTGGAGGGTAAGCAACTTGTGCAAGATCACCGAACCAATAAATGGTGGAGGAAGAATCTGAACTTGGATAGCTGAACTTCCATCTTTTACTGTGTATGAACATACAGGATTGCTTAACTTACTAAGAACCTAGACATATGGATTATGTATCACTGATTTACATAAAGGTATATGGGAGGCTTCAAGAGATGGTCTTCAGAATTTATCTTCAAGGGCTTCTTAGAAAAGATGCCTTAAAAAAAAAAAAAAATCACACATATACACACACAAAAACGCCCTAAGATTAGTGGATGAGTCTCTAACACTTCAAAGACTGTACTGTCCAGCTACTGAGGTGAAGAGTCAAACTTAGACTTATTCCCAGGAACAAAGACCAAAAGACTGCCTTTATAGCTCTAAACCTTGCCAATTACTTTGGGTTTAACTCGAGAGGACTGGAGGATTAATGCCTATAAAGCTGGAAACAAAGACACATACACTTCCAGGTGTGGAATTTTATTTTCACAAAAAGACAACATTGCCTTCGCACATACAAGTATTTACAAAACCCAACTGATTCACCCATCTAGAATCTGGGTTTTTTCCACTTCTCAACATGGTTGGGAACATGGAAACATTAATACCCACATAATTCCCATAGTTGGAATTTATCCATCAAACAGTACAGATTACCTAAAAGTGCACTTACCTGCACAACTCATTCTAAGAACCTCAGTGAAACCCACCTCATAGCCAAGGTTTCATTAATCTATTTGGTCTCATTCCATGCAAACCTGAACAAGTATATTGCTATACTAAACTGAAACTCGGTTCTCAAGTTCCCCTTTACAATTAAAAAGGTTCTCAACACTTTAGCAACTATACAGAATATGAAGCTTTATTTCAAAAAGAGTACATTCTTTAAAACCAGGATACACAGATGTACTTCATGTAACAGTACCTTCTGCAAAAAATAGGTTACATAATACTCAGAAATGCAAGGAACAATCGTATTCTCTAAAAATTAGACAGCAGACCTTTTCAGCTTATACAGCCTTCAAAATGGAGGCTGACAATGCTTGGTGACATGTAACTCTATAGCCTGATACAGAGCCAGGCTGCAAATGAAACTACCACCACACAGCTGCAAACTACCCTTTCTATTCACACGGTATTAAACAAAATGGTTTTGATTCCAATCTTTTCCAATGTGTCTCGGTGCTACAAGAAAAAAAAAGTTGAATGATACACAAAACTATTAAAAGTTACAACAGAACTATTTAAACAACTTCTCCAAAATTGAGAAAAGCAATCATGGTAAATTTTAAAAAAGGAGAATAAAGAAAAGTCTGACAGAACTCTCAAGCAAGTCAGAGGTCCTCTTTGTAAGTAGTCAAATAAAGTTTACTGGAGATTTCAATAAATTATTTTGAAACCATGGCAGAGAGCTAATTTTCAGAATCGTCGTGGAGGCCCGCCTTTAAATGGCTTAAATCCAGAGCTACTTCCTCTTGGTATGGAATTGCCACCGATTTGCACAATTCTATTAATTGGGGAGGCGTTACTGTAAAAGGTATAAAGAAAAAAAATGTCAGGGAACAAAAGGACAAATAATTACAGTTAATACCTACAAAGTGCTTATAATTTACCATGCACTATTCTTTGTACTTTACCCAATTAAGTAAGTTCTGTTTTCAATAGTCCTATGAGGTTAAGTACCATTACTCATCCCAATTTACTGATGAAGAAACTGACATCAGGAGGCTAAGAGACGTGTGCAAGAGCAGAGAGCTAATCAACGGCGGAGGAGAGTTTGAATTTGGTAGTTGAACTTGCCTCACAGAAAGCCATTTAAGGGAAGTGACTGTAGCAGTGGTTCCCAAGGTGTGGTCACCAAATCATCATCAAGTAGGAAGTTGAACCTCTGGCATAGAGAACATTATATATATATATGAAAAAGACCCACCAAAAAAACCTAAAATATGGGAGATAAATACCCACAGTGAAATGGGTTTTATTAAGTAGAATAAAACCCATTTATAGAAAGGTCTGACTGCCAGGCTGAGGAAATATGGATTAGCTCCCGTGACCTGGAGAAGCTGTTTGTGATTCTAAAGCAAATAGATGGTATAACAACAGTTCCAGCCCGGCAGGCATGGCTCAGCGGTTAAGCATCAACCCACGAACCAGGAAGTCATGGGTTCGATTCCCAGATAGGGCATATGCCCAGATTACCAATTTGATCTCCAGTAAGGGGCATGCAGGAGGCAGTATATTAATGATTCTCTCTCATTATTAATATTTTTATCTCTCTCTCCCTCTCCCTTTCTTTCCATAAAGTTAAAAAAGAAAAAACACATACCATATATTAAAAATATAAAAAATAAAAAAAAGTTCCAGTGGTTAAATTTAGAAAGTGTGAATAATGGAGCAGAAAAAAGACTAATTTGGGAATATCAACTAGAAGTTGAAATGAGGAAGAAAGCATAGCTGTTACAAATGTTTTTTTAAAATTAAACCAGCCGAAACCGGTTTGACTCAATGGATAGAGCATTGGCTTGGGGACTGAAAGGTCCTGGATTCGATTACGGTCAAGGGCATGTACCTTGGTTGCAGGCACATCCCCAGTAGGGGGTGTGCAAGAGGCAGCTGATTGATGACTCTTTCTCATTGATGTTTCTAATTCTCTAGCTCTCTCCCTTCCTCTCTGTACAAAAATCAATAAAATATATTTTAAAAAAACACATACACACACAAAAACACTAAACCATACTTAGAAATATATACTAAGAATGAAGACAGACAAAGATGAGGCCCATGATTTTCCAATCTGGGTGAATGAGATCAATTAATTTGGCACTGGTAAATTAAAAAAGCTAGAGGCAATAACTGAGACATGAAGGTTTAAAACTGGAGAAGAATGAGTTGGATGTGACTTTGAATTTATGGAAACAGCAGGCGATTTACATGGAGATCACAATATAGAACTCCATTTGAAGAAGCCAGCAAAATGGATCAAAAAGGTAGAAAGGAAAATATGATGCATAGGAGTGTTTTAAACACACACACACACACAAGCAGTAGTGAGAAATAGTTCCTAAGACCTAAGATAATAAATAAGGACTCTATATTTATCAAGAAACAAAGGCAACATCTACAGACAGCTTATACAACTAAACAAAAGGAAGATGAATGATCCAATTAAAAAATGGGCAATGGGCCGGGACCGGATTGGCTCAATGGATAGAGCGTCGGCTTGGGGACTGAAGGGTCCCGGGTTGGATTCCTGTCAAGGGCATGTACCTTGGTTGCGGGCATATCCCCAGTAGGAGGTGTGCAAGAGGCAGCTGATCGATGACTCTCTCTCATCGATGTTTCTAACTCTGTATCTCTCTTCCTTCCTCTCTGGAAAAAATCAATAAAATATATTTAAAAAAAAAAAAAGGGCAATGGACCTAAATAGAATATTTTCAAAAGAAGACAGAAGGAAGGCCAAAAGGCACATGAAAACATGCTCAAAGTCACTAATTATCCGAGAGATGCAAACAAAACAACAATGCAGTACCATCTCACACCTGTCAGAATGGCCAACATCAACAAATCAACAAACGACAAGTGTTGGTGAGGTTGCGGAGAAAAAGGAACCCTCCTGCACTGCTGGTGGGAATGCAGACTGGTGCAACCACTGTGGAGAACAGTGTGGAGTTTCCTCAAAAAACTGAGAATGGAACTCCCATTTGACCCAGTAATCCCACTTCTAGGAATATATCCCAAGAAACTAGAAACACCAATCAGAAAGGATATATGCACCCCTATGTTCATAGCAGCACAATCTACAATAGCCAGAATCTGGAAACAGCCTAGGTGCCCGTCAGCAGATGATTGGATCCAAAAACTATGATACATCTACACAATGGAATACTATGCTGCCATAAAAAAGAAGGAATTCTCATCATGTGCAGCAACATGGATGGAATTGGAGAACACGCTGAGTGAAATAAGCCAGTTAATAAAAGAGAAACACCACATGACCTCACTCATTTATGGATAATAAAGAACATTATAAACTGATGAACCAAAAGATAGATATAGAGACAGTAAAGCAACAAGCAGACTGTCAAATTACAGCGGGGAGGGTAGGGAGATCTGGGGGAGATAGCAGATCAACTGAAGGACTTGTATACATGCATATAAGTACAACCAATGGACACAAAACTCTGGGGAGGGAGGGCATGTATGGGAGGGGGGAATGGTAAGATATGTACACAGATAATAATTTAATAATAAAAAAAAGAATATAGAACCCAGAAATCGACACAAACTAAGCTCAATTAATATTCGACAAAGGAGGCATGAACGTACACTGGAATCAAGTCAGTCTCTTCAATAAATGATATTGGAAAAATTGGACAGATAACATGCAAAAAATGAAACTAGATCACCAACTTACACCATACACAAAAATAAACTCAAAATGGATAAAGGACTTAAACCTAAGACAGGAAACCATAAAAAAAATACTAGAGGAATTCACAGGCAGCAAAATTTCAGACATATGCCAAAGTAACTTCTTCACTATTAATGCTCCTAGGGCAATAGAAAATAAAGTGAAAATAAACAAATGGGACTTTAGCAAAATAAAAAGCTTGCCGAAACCGGTTTGGCTCAATGGATAGAGGTCGGCTTGGGGACTGAAAGGTCCCGGGTTCAAGTCCGGTCAAGGGCATGTACCTTGGTTGCGGGCATATCCCCAGTAGGGGGTGTGCAAGAGGCAGCTGATCGATGACTCTCTCATCGATGTTTCTAACTATCTCTCTCCCTTCCTCTCTGTACAAAATCAATAAAAAATATATTAAAAAATAATAAAAAAATAAAAAGCTTTTGCATAGCAAAAGAAACGATCAACAAAATAACAAGAAAGACCATTTCATGGGAGAACATATTTGCAAATGTTATCACTGATAAGGGTTTAATCTCCAACATCTACAGGGAACTCATACAACTCAACAAAAGGAAGATAAACAATCCAAACCAGAAATGGGGAATGACCTAAATGGAAACTTTTCGAAAGAAGACAGAAAAAAGGCCAAGAGACATATGAAAACATGCTCAAAGTAACTAATTATCTGAGAGATGCAAATAAAAACAACAATGTGGTACCATTTCACACCTGTCAAAATGGCTATCACCAACAAACCAACAAATGACAAGTGCTGGCGAGGATGTGGAGAAAAAGAAACCCTTGTGCACTGCTGGTGGGAATGCAGTCTGGTGCAGCCACTGTGGAGAATAGTATGGAGCTTCCTCAAAAAACTAAAAATGGAATTCCCATTTGACCCAGTAATTCCACTTCTAGGAATATATCCCAAAAAGCTAGAAAACATCAATCAGAAAAGATATATGCACCCCTATGTTCATAGCAGCACAATTTACCATAGCTAAGATTTGGAAACAACTTAAGTGCCCAACAACAGATTAGTGGATATTAGTGGTATAATATATCTACACAATGGAGTACTATGCTGCACTAAAAAAGAAGGAATTCCTATCATTTGCAACAACAAGAATGGAACTGGAGAGCATTATGCTAAGTGAAATAAGCCAGTCAGAGAAAGATAAATATTACATGATTTCACTCATTTATGGGAAATAATGAACAACATAAACTAATGATCAAAAACGGATCCAGAGACAGGGAAGCATCAATCAGACTGTCAAACCTCAGAGGGAAGGCAGGCATATGAGAGTAAGTGGGAAAGATCAACCAAAGGACTTGTATGCATGCATGCATGCATGCATGCATGCAAATATGCCTAACCAGTGGACACAGACAACAGGAGGCGAGGGCATCAGTGTTGTGTGGGGTGGGGGTGGGGGTTTGGGAAGGTAATGGGATGAGGACAAATATGTAATACCTTAACCAATAATGAAATTAAAATGCAAAAAAAAAAAAAAAAAAGAAAGAAAGAAAGAAAGAAAAGAAAAAGAAACGAGGGCAGCCGAAACCGGTTTGGCTCAGTGGATAGAGTCAGCTTACGGACTGAGGGGTCCCAGGTTCGATTCCAGTCAAGGGCATGTACATGGGTTGTGGGCACATCCCCAGTTGGGGGTGTGCAAGAGGCAGCTGGGTCAATGTTTCTCTCTCATTGATGTTTCTATCTGTCCCTCTCCCTTCCTCTCTGTGAAAAATCAATAAAATATATATTTAAAAAAAAAAAGTCAATCATGAAAAAAAGCATTAAAAAAAAAAAAAAAAAGAAAGAAAGAAAGAAACGAAGGCACTGGTATTCTTAAAAAACCAGACAGAATGAGTGATGAGGCTATGCAGACACAAGCAGAAATAAACACTTAAATTTGATGGTGGATGCACCCAATAGAATAGTGGTAACTTGAGTTAGTAAGCCAACCTAATATGTCTTCTAAGACCGGTCCATGGGAAAGAAAGAAGAGCATGCAAAAGAGAAAGAGGCCAAAGATTTGCCTGCTGAAGGGCACTATGGGTGCTGGTGTGAAAACAAAATAAAGCTTGCCTCTTAGCCTATGAACAGGCTGTGGGTTAAATGCCCACCAGTTTTGCTAGGGTTACTTTAAAAGGGAGGAACCAGAACAGACTTTCAGTTTTCTTCTTCCTTTCTAGGAATTTTAGGAATGACATGTAGTGAACAAGAAGATGGTTCCAACTTGAAATTAATGTTCATTATCTACCAGATTCCGACATACATTCAGGTGTGTATCTAGATCAATATGCCAGAATGCTAATCAATTAACTTATCATGAGGAATATAAAACTTAAAAATTAACCTCAGTTGCCCTTCATAAAATCTCCTGGAGATTTTTAGTTAATATGGGGAATATTTGGGTAAGTTTAGGGGTGTTGTTATCCAATCTCTCAGAAGCTATCACGATCTTTAAGGAAAGGATAAAGATATGGATGTGTGCTGGCAGAAAATTCTTAACTAATTACTTATTTACCTTGCATGTTGGGTTATCATGTTTGCCCCTGACCGGCCATCGCCCATTCGCCTTGCGTCATGATAGCCAGGCCCCTGAGAAGGTGGGCCATGCCACTCTTTTCTTGGTCCGCTGGCATCCCGTCCATGGCGTTCAACCACACGTCGTTCTTCAGGGTAGTGCTAAAGACCATATTAAAAGAGAGGTCATGACACGCTCAGCCTCACACCAATTTACTTGTGTTAGTATGCTTTTATTTATTTATTCTTAATTTTTATTATTGATTTTAGAGAGAGAGAAACATTGGTTTGTTGTTCTACTTATTTATGTTCTCACTGAATGCTACTTGTTATGCGCCTGACCAGGGATCAAACCTGCAGCCTTGGTGCACTGAGATGATGCTCTCGCCCAGTGGTCGTGGCAAACCGCGGCTTGTGAGCTGCAGTTTTCGGACCACTGCTCTAGCCAACTGAGCTACCTGCCAGGACACTAGTGTGCTTTTAATGTCAGAAGCAAATTAGTAAAATGTCTGAGAAAAGAATTGATAATAATACAACAACAAATATAAAGGTTTTCCAAAGGGTGTTTTTCTCCCACGACAGGCACTGACACTGCCTTCACATTTAGAGACTGCTCTGCTCAGTCTCTGTCTCCCTCACCCTGGCAGGAAATCAATTGCTAGCAACCTGGGCAGGAATGCTAATGGCCATCTGGAGTGGCAGTGGAGCGGGGGCCAGGAGACCGATAACTAGCTGCTCTTACAAAAATTGACTGAAGGGAGAATCCAAAATGGCTGCCCAGGTAAACACTTACCTGCAGCCACACACAACAATTTCAATAAAATACAACTAAAATATAAAATGGACATTACCCAGAACTACAGGAAAGTCGACTGACTGGAAATTCTACAATGAGAAGCAAGGAGAAAACCAGAAGGAAGAGCAGAGGAGCTGTAAAAGCCTAAGGTACGGAGACACACGGTGCGCGTGGAGAGGATGGAGCCGGAGAGGAGGGCGGCTGAGTGCCTGGCTGGCGTTCCCTAGCAGGAAGGAGACAAAAGCTCTGGACTGTGCTGGGCCCCACTTCCGACTGCTCTGAACCCCAGTTCTAGGCCAGACCCTGGGGACCCCGGCTCAAACAGAGGGAGCTAAGCTGTAAGGTGGAACCCTGGGGGAGCGGCGAAAGGAGGTCCCGGCGGCGCGCACATTGCACGCAGAGAAGGGACAGTTGGCTGTGCCGCGGGATTGCCTTTGTGGGAAGGAGACAGGGGCTCCAGTCTGCTCTGAACACCACCTCCAACTCCACTTCCAACTGTACTGAACCCCAATACCGGGCTCATTGGGGGAAAGCCTAAACTGTTTGATAGCAGGCGAAAATCGAGGGCACCTTTCTCTCAGAGGTGCTTGCAACAAGTACTGAAGGACCCTGAGACCCAGGAGCCACATAGGGCGGGGCTGACAGAAGCCAAGGCTGTAGGCACCACCCTGAAACCCCGCCCCATCAGAGAAGCTGAGAAAATGCAACAACGAAATAGATCACAAATGAAAGAAATGGAGGACAAAAAGCGTCTGGATATAGAGTTCAAATCTACACTTATAAGGTTTTTCAAGAATTTCCTAGAAAAGATCGATAAGACCTATGAGGATATGAAAAGAGATCAACTAGAATTAATAAGGAATCAACAAGAAATAAAGAATACATTGTCTGAAATAAAAAATATTATACAGAGTCCTAAAAACAGAATGAAAGATCACAAGAACCAAGTCAAAGATTTGGAACATAAAGAGCCAGAAGACACTTCTCCGCAGAAGATAGAAGGCAAGAGAATCCAGAAAATTGAAGATAATGTAAGAAACCTCTGGGACAACTTCAAGCGAACCAACATCAGAATTATGGGGGTCCCAGAAGATGAGAGAGAACAAGATATCGAAAACATACTGAAAGAAATAGTGACAGAAAACTTCCCCCACCTGGTGAAAAAATTAGACTTACAAATCCAGGAAGCGCACAGAACTCCAAACAAAAGGAATCCAAAGAAGACCACACCAAGACAAATCATAATTAAAATTCTAAGAGCAGCCGAGATTGGTTCGGCTCAATGGATAGAGCGTCAGCTTGGGGACTGAAAAGTCCCGGGTTCGATTCAGGTCAAGGGCATGTACCTTGGTTGCGGGCATATCCCCAGTAGGGGGTGTGCAAGAGGCAGCTGATTGATGACTCTCTCTCATTGACGTTTCTGACTCTCTATCTCTCTCCCTTCCTCTCTGTACAAAATCAATAAAATATATATTAAAAAATAAATAAATAAAATAAAATAAAATTCCAAGAGCAAAAGACAAAGAGAGAATATTCAAAGCAGCAAGAGCAAAGCAGGTAGTTACCTATAAAGGAGCACCTATACAATCGTCAGCTGATTTCTCAACAGAAACCATGCAGGCCAGACGGGAGTGGCAAGAAATATTCAAGATGATGAATAACAAGAACCTACAGCCAAAAATAATCTACCCAGCAAAGCTATCACTCAGAATCAAAGGCCAGATAAAGAGCTTCACTAATAAAAAAAAACTAAAGGAGTTCATCACCACCAAACCAGAATTATATGAATTGCTTAAGGGGGTTCTTTCAGAAGAGAAAGTAAGTAAAGATAAAAATTATGAACAACAAATATGTAACTATCAACAGGTGAATCTAAAAACCAAGGGAATTTAAAAAAAAATCTGATGAACAATATTAACTGTTGAATATAATAGAATCAGAGGTATGGAAGGGGGGTGAACTGACGATTCTTGGGGAAGAGGGGAGAGGGGGATGTGGGAAGAGAATGAACATAAACTGTGCACCTATGGATGAGGACAATGGGGGGTGGGGAAAGGGCAGAGGGTGGGGTGGGAACCTGGTGGAGGAGAGCAATGGTGGGAGGGGAGGGGGGAGGAACATTTGTAATAATATGAACAATAAAAATTTATTTAAAAAATAAAAAAATAAAGTTTCCAAAAAAAAAAAAAGGGGGGGGGGGTTACCATCTATTTTGCATTGAGAGGCTACTTAGGGTAGGGTAGGGGAAAACGATGCAGCACTGTAATTTCCACTTCTATGCTTTTTAGCACCCAGGTACTTTGTGAATGCTGAGTATTTCTGGATCTCTCTATAATGCCTGGATCTCTATATATGTAAGAAAGTATAGTGAGAGACAAATTAGGGTATATGATCAACATGAGAACAGCACAAAAAAATAGGAGTTGCCATCTTATTTTACAGAGTACTAGTTAGTCCTATGGCTCTGACAATGTCTTATATTCATGACTATAAAAAAACAATACTGAACACAAAGAAACAGAAGCCACAGAACGTAGGAGCTGAGAAAAGAGGAGTCAAACTGAGCTTACAGGGAAATGAACTGTTTTAAAGAAACTAAAGAGAACACTGGTCAAACAACTTATTTATGAAAAATAGAATTTTCAAGAAAGGAATAGGATCTCTCCCAGGACATCTTTCCTAAAGGAATATCTGAATGCAGAGGGTAGTCTATGATACTGCCTTAGTTTCACTCTAAATACAGCAGGATATCAGATTATGTACCCAGTCTTAAGGTTTACAGGTAAACAGCTCAATGAACTGATCTACTGAATATTTCTGCTTATTAGAAACAGTAAAGCTTATAATGCCACCAGGCCCACATTTATGTCATAAGTGCTCTAAATAAAACAGAAAGTATAAACTGGTATTAGCAAGAATGCCAAGGAATTAAATTTTTTTCTAGTAACAAAAGTCCCTAAAAGCCCTGGCCCGTTTGCTCAGTGATTAGAGTGTTTGGCTGAGGACTGAAGGTTGTGGGTTCAATTCCTGATCAAGGGCACACACCTCATTGGGTGCCTGCAGGCCTATACTCCAAGTATGGGACCGTCGTGTCTACGATGTGATTTGTATCGCGTAGCACAGCTACCTAGAAGTGCCAAAGTGCCCTCTAAGGCAGCCAGGGAAATACTGTTGTTCGATATCTGGGGCTTGACTTTGTCAAACAGCTCTTTGTTGCACCTACCTTTGCTTTATCAAATATAAATCAGATAATAAACATGAGTATCTTCTTAAATAAATTTTTTTTTTAAAAAGGGGACATACCTCAGTTGCCCAGTAGGGGTGCGTATGGGAGGTAATCAATGTGTCTCTCTCATACAGATGTTTCTCTCTCCATCCCTCCCTTCCACTCTCTCTAAAAATTAACAGAAAAAATATCCTCAGGGGAGGATTAATAACAACAACAAAATGAACAAGAATTTCAGGGTTACTATCCAACTTCTTTGAATTACTGACTTTCAACTGACAGTAAAATATGTTAATCAGCTTAACCAGCTTAACAATAACCCACAACCTTTGGACCAAATTGACCGTAAAATATGAAAAACTGATTTTTTACAGGAAACTGGTCTCCCAGTCATTCTAATCAACCAGTCTAGGTCACATCAAAATGCTAAGTCCTCTAACGTGATTCCCGAAGAGTTGAGCATAAACCTTTATAAGCACTTACCTGTGCTCCACTTCCCCGGTCTGTAATGACCCTTTCTCCTTCTCTGCTGCCATAGCTGGAAGCATTACTGCGACTTCCGGGTGGGGCCCCTCTTACACTGTGTCCTGACACTTCTCTCCCAGATCGCTCTGGCCTTTCAACTCTGTTAAATAAATCCCAAAAGGTATGCGATCAAAATTCTATTATAACTTTCTTTTAACCCAAATGCAATATGTGCCATTTAGAGGCATTACAAACCACAAGGATACCTTGCTTCCCGTTTGTCACTGGACAGGCCTCCTTCACTTTTCCAGGTGGAGGTCCTAGAGGGAGTGGGCCCTGCTTCTCGAGGATGTCTTGGGTGAGTGATATCAGGCCTGTCGTGAATGATCACAGTTCTCCTCTCTTCTCGCTCCCCTCGTACTTCACGCCTGTCTGTTTCTCTAAGTTCGTTTCTTGTTGGAGGAGGCTCATTTCTTCTGGAATCACTGAAATTTTTGGGATACCTTTCAAAACCTGGATCTTCTCTTCGTGTAGTAGGACGTGCTTTTTTCCCGTCACTTTGACCAACAAAGCGTTCTCGCCTATTGTTTATCCAAAACAAAGAACATAGATCCTTCTTAACTTTATTTACATAACTCACAATACTTATATCTTCTGTAAAAATTAACTTAAGGAGAAGCCACCAAAATATCCAATATTATTGATTACTAGAGGCCTGGTACACAGATTCGTGCACAGATGGGGTCCCTCAGCCTAGCCTGCACCCTCCCGCAATCCTGGACCCCTCGGAGGATGTCGGACTGCCAGGTTTCGGCCAGAGGGATGTAGCAGTGCCAAGTGGCAGGTGGCCGGAGAGGAACCCCACCGGGGCTGGGCACAGCTCCACCACTGCTCATCCCAGGCCCGTTGCACCTGCCACCACCACCTGGTAGCACGGCCTCAGAGCAGGAGAGGCTCCCGCCGCCGCAGTTGTGCTCACCAGCTGAGCCTGGCTTCTGGCTGAGCTGCACTCCTGCTGTGGGAGCCCACTGACCACCAGGGGGCAGCTCCTGCATTGAGCGCCTGCCCTCTGGTGGTCAGTGTGCATCATAGCGACTGGTCGTTCCAGGTGTTTGGTTGTAACAGTCTGAGGCTTTTATATAGATAACAACTCATAATCTCTTAAGCTGAGGTAAATGTCTGGCATGAAGGTTGGTTTTTTAGCATCAAGGAGGGATTACATCTAACATTTAAGGCACTACCAACCTGAAGGATGTTTCACCGCTCTTAACAACTGAGGCACATCCAAAGCTAACAGTATTCCCACTTAGTTTTAAAGGTTAAGAAGATAAAGACAATCCTTTCCGGTCGTGACGACCTCCCCACAACAATATGCCTTTTGCTAAGGATCTCCTCCATCCCTCTCCAAAGAGAAGAGGAAACACAAGAAGAAACACCTGGTGCAGAGCCCTAATTCCTACTTCATGGATATAAAATGTCCAACCTGCTAAAAATCACTACTGTCTTTAGCCATGTGTATTGGTTGCTCTACTGTTCTCTGTCAGCCAACGGGAGGAAAAGCAAGGCTTACAGAAGGATGCTCCTTCAGAAGGAAGCAGCACTAAAAGCACATCAAATCAAGATGAGTGGGAAACCATGCCAATAAACACATTTTGGATTAAAAAAAAAAAAACAAGATAAAGCCAACCTACTTAACCTTGTTATGGTGGCCTTTCAAGCAAATTTTCAATACTGATCATATTCCCAGGAACAAAACTGAACAGAAGAATTTGCTATGCTGTGTACTGGGAGCTGGAGAGTTTTGCCTAGATAATTTGGGCCTACGTAAGATTTGGGAGTTACTTGTCTGAGATTAAGCCCAGAAAACAGTAACTCAGACCAGAAAAAATACTCTGTTCACCAGTATCCTCTAAAGAAGACTTCACTCCAACCAGTGGTATATGAAAATGAATCTCCTGTCTCTATTTTCCTAAAGCCGATTTATATTTTCTAAATTAATGAGTGCTAAATACAGTTACTCAATTTTAATTGCCACCACTAGGGGAAAGAGAAATGAGTGATGAAATAATTGTTTAATATATATTTGCAGCTACAGTAGAAGAAATAAACCTAGTGTATTAATTCATATACTAGTAAAGTCATCTAGTATAAATTGTGATGTTATATTGAAGTTTTATCATATTATCCAAGATACAAATTTATTCTTTGTTTAAACTTGGGTTATTATGGCAATTTTTAGTTGATTAGTTGTTTTTTCTTGGCTACCTCTTAATTTTCTCTCTCTTTTTTTTTTAACCTCTTAATTTTCTTCGTATTACAATCCTCTTTAGCTGTCCCTTGTAAATTCTGTATTATAAAACATGAGCAATTTGAATGACTGAGAAAAGTTACTGCCATTTACAGGCATTATTTGGACAGTTCATAAAACTCATGAATAAATGGGATTATTTTATGTTTCTGGGGTTTTTTTGGTTTGTTTTTTAAGATTTTGTTTTTTTAGAAAGAGAGCAAGAGGGAGAGAAACATTGATTGATTGCCTTCTGCATGCCCTGACTGGGGATCGAGCCTGCTACCCAGACATGTGCCAAGACTAGAAATCGAAACAGTAAACCTTTTAGTGCAAAGAATTATACATAACCAAGCCTCACCAGCCAGGTAAGGGTTTTTTAAATTTCTATTTTTGTTCTATTTTATTTACTAGACACCCGAAGCACAAAGATTCGTGCCGAATAGGCCATCCTTATCCTGACTATCAGCACAGCCTCTGCTCTGGCCCAGAGCAACCTTTCCACTTTCCTACCTGCCCAGTGGCCCAGAGTTCTTGGGGTGGTGTGAAACACCTGTGTCTCGCCCTTAGCTGCTAGGTGCCTGGATATACAAATTAACCAACAAAGATGGGTTAATTTGCATACCTGCTTCTGATTTGCTGGTGGGCGTCATGAAGGTACAGTCAATTTTGCATCTTTTTCTTTTATTAGTGTCACTAGGGGCCTGGTGCATGAAAATTCATGCACTTGAGGGGGAGGTCCCTCAGCCTGGCCTGCCCCCTCTCTAAGTCCAGGAGCCCTCAGGGGCAGGAGGCGACCCAGCGAACAGGGAAAAGCGGTAACCCATCACACTCTGCACCTATCATTGCCAGCAGTGTAAGCCTCAGGTGGCCCTGGTACCTGAGCCTTGGGTGGCCTGGGCAGCTGCCATCCTAGGCTTGCCTACACCTCGAGCCAGCCCTGGACGGCTGGGAGCTGAGGGAACTGGGGGACTCCAGAGGCAGGCATGCGGAGGGGCAGAGGGGACTGGGCGCTGCCATTTTTGAGGGCGTGACAGTCAATTAGCATATTCCACCCTGTGGGCACCACCATCTTTGTTGGCCTGAGATTCGATTAGCATATTCTCTCTTTATTAGTTAAGATGTTGCAGCATTTTTATATTTGGAAAGGAGAACACAGCAGAACATAAGGTAAAGGAAAACAAAAATCTGCAACTGGATTGATGACTTTTTCATGGAGTATGATAACTTATGCAAATTATTTTAGTAAATTCAACATTTGAAGGGAAGACTTCTTATATCAGCAAAAGTATCAAACATGATATTTTCAAAGCCCACAACTTATTTAATTTTAAAAAATGTTGGTCTAAAATCATTATAAAGAAAGCATGGACATAGATCTACCAGCTGAACTGTCCGTTAGAGCAAATCCTAACTGGACAAGTTAGCTGTAGTTGACCCCTGTGTGGCAGTATACTGCCTTTTCTCTTACTGCAAAGGACAAAAGCTGCTAGAAAGTTTAGGTTCTTTTCTTTTCTTTTTTTTTTTTTTTAATATATTTTATTGATTTTATACAAAGAGGGAGAGAGAGATAGTTAGAAACATTGATGAGAGAGAGTCATCGATCAGCTGCCTCTTGCACACCCCCTACTGGGGATATGCCAACCAAGGTACATGCCCTTGACCGGAATCGAACCCGGGACCTTTCAGTCCCCAAGCCGACGCTCTATCCATTGAGCCAAACCGGTTTTGGCTAGAAAGTTTAGGTTCTAAAAATAAATAGGCTGGTTAGTCTTTGAGGGCTTCTCGAAGTGTAGAAAGTCATCATGTAAACACTGCATTAGTGTCTAACCATTTTAGAGTGGTGGCTGTTATCTCTTCAGGAGTTGGTGCACAAAGTAAATTTCAATGATTCATGTTTTCCATGCTCATTTCTGAGTATCTTTCCCACGAGAGAAAGGGAAAGAAAACCTACACCTCATGTGTGTGAATTTGGGACCTGTTGGCCAACGGGAATGTTACTCCATGGAAATACAGATTCTTCATGGAATATACAGGTTGTTTGTTTGCTCTTGTTACTGTGTAGCTTCAAAACTTGGTTCTTAGATCTGTTTCTTTTTTTAAACTAGTTCCATTCACAGTTCTTTTTTTTTTTTTTTTTTTAATATATTTTATTGATTTTACACAGAAATTGAGAGGGAAAGAGAGTTAGAAACGTCGATGAGAGAGAAACATCGACCAGCCGCCTCTTGCACACCCCCCACAGGGGATGTGCCCGCAACCAAGATACATGCCCTTGACCGGAATCGAACCCGGAACCTTTCAGTCCGCAGGCCGACGCTCTATCCACTGAGCCAAACCGGTCCCGGCCCATTCACAGTTCTTACAGCCTCCTGGTTAGGTCATTGTGACACTTGAATTATAATATTTTGAGATGTTTTCACACCAAAATGTACAAAACAGGGAGTGAAGGCAATTTACAGCAAACAAAACAAAACAAATACATAGCTTATTTCATCTGAAAACCAAAACCAAACATACGATTTGTTTTGAACACTCAGTTATGACCTATATACTTTAAGACCTATCAATTTTAAGAGAACCAAATTTACCACTAGCAAGGCTCATATACCAAATATAACTGTTTTCAACATAATCTATGTACCTTTCAAAAGATGAAGACTGTACTGATGAACTCTCAGGAAATCTGCCCCTCTCTCGATGATCAAAGTCATTAAATCTGTTCTGTTGGCGAGAGTAGTCAGATCCATGGCCAAATCGTGCATCAGTATCTAGAGCCAATTTTTTATTCTCGCTCCAGTAAGGATCATCTCGCCTTGAAAAGAAATATTTGCTAATTTATATAAATTAGTATTATAATAACCAAACAACACTAACTTGGAGTCATACATACCACATGCTAGGAACTGTGGATACAGAGAGTTAATAAACTCAAAACACAAAACATTTAGCAACAAATTATTAAATTATGTAAAGTCATATAGTGTTAGAGGAATTTCACAGGGGAGAAAATAGTTGAAAAAGTGTCTTCTTTAAAATTATCAGGTGGAAAAGACAAATGAGGTAAATACTCAGTATACCATTTTAGTAGTAAAATTTTTTTTAATGTTTCTTGTTTTGTTAATATATTTTTATTGATTTCAGAGAGGAAGGGAGAGAGAAAGAAAGATGGAAACATCAATGATGAGAGAAAATCATTGATTGGCTGCCTCCTGCATGCCCCCTACTAGAGAAGCCCGCAACCTGGGCACATGCCCTTGATCAGAATCGAACCTTCAGTCCGCAGGTCAATGCTTTATCCACTAAGCCAAACCAGAAAGAACTAGTAATAAAATTCTAACCAGCAGTAGACAAACTTTTCAGCTATACTTAATTTTAGAAAGGTTAGAAGGGTTAAGTCCCAAACATCATTCACTCATTACACCTATTTCTCAACACAATCCACTAAATGTCATAGATTTCATATTAAAATTAAATGATTATATTATATACATATACATATACATATACATACACACACACACACACACACACACACACATATATATATATATATATATATATATATATATATATATTTGATTTTGTACAGAGAGGAAGGGAGAGAGATAGAGAGTTAGAAACATCGATGGGAGAGAGTCAGCTGCCTCTTGCACACCCCCCACCGGGGATATGCCCGCAACCAAGGTACATGCCCTTGATCGGAATCGAACCCGGGACCCTTCAGTCCCCAAGCCAGCTCTATCCATTGAGCCAAACCGGTTTCGGCTGATTATATTATATTTTTGAAATCTTTTGTGAATCATGAACATAAACACACAACAGAATCTATATTTTAGCCTTCCCAAATTTATGGCATCCATTTTTGTTAACCTGTAAGTTTTAAAAATGGGTCTCAGAACCACCACTGAAACCTACATGTATTTCTATCATACTGGAAAAACATTTGGCATTAGGAAGGAGAGACTTTTCCTACTTGATAATGCTCTATGTCTACTCCATTACTGCAATCATTCCCATCTCTGTGGATCATGACCTCTTTATTCCAGGAATGGCTGCCTATACTTTCTAGTTCTCTAGATTGTTTTAGCTTGAAAGGAGTAAGACAGCAAGTGTAACTGTAAAAGAAAAAAACAAACATCTACCTATGATCTATATCACGTGGGCGTTTCAAAGAATTTCTTTTTTCTTGTTCATAACGAAGCTGCTGCTGTTGCCTTCTCAGTTCCTCTCGTTCTCTAGCAATACGTTCAGCTTCCTTACGACGTTCCTTCAGACAACACAGAAGGAAGAACCAACCAATGCAAAATGAAAACATAAGGTAAGTATATATGCAACCTTGTTTTAATCCTATCATTAAGAAATCATCATAGACAATCACTAGGCAAAACACTTGGGGCAAATACATAAACAAATATGACTCTAGGAATCAGTAATCTAGGCTATAGTTACTATTCTGCAATATTGAAAACAACAGAGATTGATTGAGTGGTAAAAGCTGGCAAGTAATTGGGAAGGTTAGATTTAGTTTAATCATTTGATGCAAAGAAAAGCACCCACAGGGAATTAGAAATAGAGTTCTTAAGGCAAATGGACACTCAGGGACTTAAAACCCTGGATGCAATTCTGCGGAGAGAGGCATTATTTCCTTCCAGCCTTGGGAAATCATTCCCACTACAATATGTAAAGAAATAGTTATTTTCTAAGGTTGGGATAGTGACAGAGCCTGGATTACAACTACTCTGGACTCATAGTCCTATGCTCAGACTATTAGGCTGCCATGATATTGCAGAGTTTGAGTTATTACCAATTGGCTAGAACTACTACTAAATGTATTTTTAACTAACACCTAATTCATTGTTAACTTTTAGGGGCACTTACTAAATGCTCATTAGCTGAACTCATTCTATAGAAGCTTTACCAAAGTAAAGCAAATTTTAGGGCAAAAATCACAAGGGTTGGAAAAGGTCAGTTATTTAAGATGAAAAGATTTTCTGACTGCACCTGTTCAATACGAATGCGTTCCCTTTCCAAGCGTTCGCGTTCCATTCTCTCTCTCTCTAGTTTTTGCCTTTCAATTTCTAGGCGCTCTCTCTCTCTGAGTAAGCGTTCCCGGTCTTCCCGTTCACGAATTATTCTAATGCGTTCTCGCTCTCGACGCTCTCTTTCTGCAATCTCTCTTCGTCTAACAAAAATCAGTATTTAGAAATACTTAAATTATGCTAGCACTGTGTGAAAGAGAATAATTTTATAATTTGAAATTTTTATCGAGATTTTTATAGCAATTTTAAACTTCAACTTAATCTAAGTAGTTTTAATATAATTGGAAAGAAAATTCAAAATAAGAAAACTTTAAACAGACCCCAACACTATTACTTATTTATTAAGATTGTCAACTGAGAAACTGAATTTTATACAGTAGTTGCCTTAGATGATTTCTGCTTAAATAAAAATCCCACTATAGTAATAGCCCATTAATCAATTGACATTTTAAAAAGGAGATATTCTACATATATAAATTTACAAAACTACAACTTACATTATTTCTGAAAAAATTTCTATAGTATATAGTCTGTCCTTAAACAAGGTTTACCTTATTTTGATGACTTAGGAGTCATACTAATCAACATGAGTTACAGCAAATGTTGGATGTAATAAAATGGAGGCCCTTAAGGGCTTGTTTTGGAGTATTCATTAGCCCATAATAGATGGCTCAAATGTTTGCTGAACTGGATTAACTTACTATCAGACTTTTAATAGTTTTTGCCATTTCCTCACTCTAAGGAACTCAGTGTGCTTTATCTCTCAGTATGTCTTCCTCCAGCAACTTAGTTCTCAAGGCCCTATGAAAATCTGAGGGGCATTTTTAATCATTACAATGACCATGGAGTTGCTACCAGCACTAACTGAGTAGGGATCAAGAATTCTAACAATCTTATGATGCATAGGATAGTCCTACACAACAAAAAAACTGTCCAATACTCCCAATATCTTTCAAATGACATAATGGACATTTATGTCATCAAAACAAACAAAAAAATCACCTTAAAAAATCCAAGCCTAGAACTTATTTTTAATAAATGCTAGGTTGGCTTGTTTGCTTTGACATGGTTTAATATTCACTACAATTTCCAGAAATGCAACTCCCTGCAACAAAAAAGGGGGTGGATTATACTCTCTTGAGCACTTCACCAAGAGTTGTTCACCACTTCAGAAACCACGTCATGATGTCAACACCACTCCTGGTCTTTGACTCACCAATACGACATACCAATATCAGTCTGTATTTGTAGCTGTCACATTCTCATTGAGTCTAAAGAGGGGTACAAACATCTGACTACTTCATTAGGTCTTCTGGAGAGGCATGCCTAAACATTCACATCTGGAATACATGCTTCATTATAAATTACTTTATTTCTCCTTTAAATTAGAGTTAAGGTATCATTATTGATTTTCTGGGAAATTATTTATATAGGTAGGTACATTATATATCAATTTTAATTCAGAATAGTAAACAGAGTACTGCAATTTTTTTGTTACATATAAAAGGTTATGAGTCAGATAGTTTGAGAATGCTGCTTTAGTAGCCACTACTCTTTTTTTCTCAACTTATCATCTAAATAGGAAGCTCAGCATATTGGGACTTCATAAAAAAAGGAAAAAAAGTTCTGAGTAATGCAAGGATTATTTCCTTTTAGTAAAGTGTATGGCAATAACAGTATTATTTAAATTGATAAAAATATCTCTGGTAGTTCCTAACACTCTTGTGAATGAATAGGTGAAATCCCAAGTTCTCTCTCAATTAGGTTAATTTTTGGAAAATTATATTATAAAACACTTTAACAAGAATATTTTAAGTGATATCCAAAAATTAACATACAAAAAAGGCAAATTGGCACTCGTGGTGAACAGCTAAGATACTGCCACCAAAAATAGAAATTTTTTTATTCTCAGTTTCTTTTAAAGAGAATTCTTGGTTTGAGAGATAGCACTTGAACAAAATAAGGTTTACAGGGCAAATCTTCCTCCACTGGGGCTCTTGTCCAAAGTATAATACATTTTTTCTAAAATGTCAACATACTATTTGAATACTATAGCTTACATTGAGACTATGCTATCTCAAAAATCAAATTTTCCGTTAAAAAACATGTCTTTTATGGCAGCAACTTTGGAGAGGAAAGAGCATTGGACTTGGAGTCAGAAGACTTGGGTCTGAGTCCCGACTCTGCCACTCATTAGCAATGTGGCATTGGAAGAGTCATTTAGCCTCTCTGGGCCTCTTTTTACTTTTCAATTATATAATGGGCATAAATAACCTTATAGGACAGCTGAGACAGAGACAATAGATGGAAAGGTAACTTTATAAATTGTAAAATATCATGCAAACTTGAGAAATAATTAGGTTTTACTCTATTTCTTAAAAGTGGCAAATAGCTTTCTGTGGGAATACAATTCTAATATTATTAAATATGTACTTATAGTTAAAGACAGATGTAAAATAGACTGTTTCTACCTTCGAAGTTCCATTGCTTGTCGCAATCTTTCAAAACGAACTAAATGTTCTCTTAGTCTTTGTTCCTTCATCTTTTCAAAAGGCAAGATGTCTTTCCTTTTGTAGTCTTTGTCCCTTCTTTTATCTAGGCTAGCTCTTTCCTTTTCTTTGCTTCTTCCATGAATCTGTAGAGGAAAAAATTATAAAAGGACTAGATGTTAAAATAATTTTGGACTGTTTCCCACATTCAGCTGGTCATTTAAAAACCTTAAGTGAGCGCTGAAACCGTTTTGGGTCAGTGGATAGAGTGCCGGCCTGCGGACTGAAAGGTCCCAGGTTCGATTCCGGTCAAGGGCATGTACCTTGGTTGTGGGCACATCCCCAGTAGGGGGTGTGCAAGAGGCAGCTGATCCATGTTTCTCTCTAATCGATGTTTCTAGCTCTCTATCCTTCTCCATTCCTCTCTGTAAAAAATCAATAAAATATAAGAAAAAATAAAAAAAATAAAAATAAAAACCTTAAGTGAGTAATGGCATTCTGTTTTTCTTAGATTTTCTAGCATGGAAATATTACAGAGCTAATTAAAGAGGAAAGTAACAGAGATACTGAATTATCTTTTTTTGTAAATAGTAAAATTATATACAACATCCCTTTCAAAGACTTACTTTCTCATATTTTCCTCTTCTTGATGGCCTACAATGATCTCCTTTAGTTTGGTCTAGTATTACCATATGTCCAGGGCTCTTTGAACCTAAGAGAGAAAAAAATATTAGATAAATATTAAATGTCTAAAAATTATTTCATTTAAAAAATATTATGTGAAAATGCTAAATTCTTAGACAACTAGATATTCACAAACCAGTACATGAAATTAAAAAAACCTACTTATTTTATGAGAACATAAATGCAAAGTTTAGAAATAGCTCAATCTGCAAATGCAAATATTTTCAGTGATACCAAAAGATCCCAACTCAACTATAGTTGTCAATCTATGATAGTATTAAGTCAGCCCAGATTTAATATCAAGGAGGCTTAGTGTGACAAACACTTTTGTTTTCTAGGAGTAAAAATTAAGACAATTAGTTCTATTAGACCTTTTCTAAAACAGTAACACCTAACAATGAAGTTTAAATATTCATCTAGTTTTAATTTCAAGTTTTCCTTTCCTCTGTAAAAATTAAGTTGTACAATAAATTAGAAAGAGACTGAAAAGAGAGATACATAGCATACTTATTCGCTTCTTTTCTTCACTTTTTTTAATGAATTCAGAAGTTTGGCCACTTGATCCATTATCATTCTTCTCATCTTTACCTTCCATTTTCTTTGTATCCTTGCTTTCTTTCTTTTCAGATTTCTCAGACAACCTTTTCTCTTCTTTTTTGACAGAAGTTTGTGTCCTGACCACAGCACCCCACACAAAAACACAACAGAATGAGAACTAGTGCATCAGTATATCAAAAAAGTCAATGTACTTATCAAAAATTAAATCCTTACTTGCTACTTCTATCACTCATGTTTTTTTTGTCCCCAGAATTTCTTGAACTACTCTTTTCATCATTTTCTTTCTTTAATTCTTTCTTAGATGGATCACCTTTAACCTGAAAGGTCCAAACAGAAAAAAAAAAAATCTTTATATTTTAAAGTTATATTTTTATGATTATAAAAAGTATGTTGATGGTCAAAAATTTGAAAACTATAAAAAGTTATTAAAATGAATGCATAAAAATCATTCTTAATTTTATTTCGTCTAGTGTCACACTTTTAAATTGAGAATTACTAGCCCTCAAAGTAACCCTTTATAAACAGGCAAGCTTACTTTTTCAACAGAAATTAACTGTCCATGCAGCTCGGTGCGATGAAGATGTGCGATACATCTGGACACCTCTGTGCTTGAAGACATTGTTACTATGCCATAGCACTTGGCCCCAGGACTTCGAGCATTTGTAACTACCTTTGCACTCAGAACCTGTAAAATAAGATAATAGTTTAGAAAGTTTTACTTCACAACTATATGAATTTTAAACAGATGAAAGTTCAGAACTGAGACTTTTCAAGTTAAACGATCTATAATATTTAGGTACATAAATTCATGATAAAGGATAAATGGGATAAATTTGCATACATATATCTTTCATATTCTTTTGATCACCATCTACCTTGCCTATAAATACTTAGTAAATATTCAAGGGAACAATTTAAAGCATCAAAAAGCAATTTATAATGGACATAGAAGGTAGAGTGGTGGGGGCTTGCAGGGGGCAGGGAGGTTGCAGAGGGCAATGGCTGGGGGAGAAAGGGGGTCTATGTAATACTTTCAACAATAAAAATTAATTTTTTTAAAAAAAGCAATTTATCTTTTTAGTTTTTCTTTTTATATTTTTCAAATATACAGCCAAAACACAGTCACATCAATTAAGTAATGCAGTGGTTGGCAAGCTGTGGCTCGCGAGCCACATGAGGCTCTGGAGTCACGGGCTGCCGACCACTGAAGTAATGGTTCACTTAATGAAAGCAAATAACATTCTCAATTAGATTTAGGCCAAAATTTCCACTAAAGGAACCCTTGAATCTCTTTTAAAAAAAGATAAGTGTCACTCAGCCAGTGCAGTGGTTGAGCATTAAACAAGGAGGTCACAGTTCAATTCCTGGTCAGGATTCGGTCCCCAGTGAAGGGACATGCAGGAGGCAGCTGATGAATGATTCTCTTTCATCATTGATGTTTCTATCTCTCTCTCTCCTTCAAACTTCCTCTCTGAAATCAACAACAACAAAGTATCTAGAAAGTTTCTAAGTAAGTTTAAACCTTATTCTATCCTATGAGTTATATTATAAGAAGCTTTAAAAATAATCAGCCATACATAAAAAAATAGCTTTGAAAATGCATTCTAAAAATTGTACTTTAAAAAGACACTTTCCATTTATGGCCTTATAAAAACAGCAAATAATCTCAGCTCTATAAAATGCATAGTTAGGAAATATAAGGCAGAGATGGTGAGCAAGAAGAAAAGTAAGAGAACAATCTAGGGTGAACAAAGAGGAACACAAATACAATGCCAGGAAGACGTAAACAGGAGATTAAGATTTTATGGTATAGGTGGCTAAAAATTTAACTTTTATCTTTATCTCTGGGAAAAGCCAACTTGCACAACAGCAATTTTATCAAGCATATGGTATCTTTATATAAGTTTAGTCCTAATAAAAGCTAACATAAAAACAGTGTTATTATCTCTAATAATAAATTACTGAAAATAGCCAAAACCGGTTTGGCTCAGTGGATAGAGCGTCGGTCTGTGGACTGAAGGGTCCCAGGTTCGATTCCGGTAAAGGGCATGTACCTTGGTTGCAGCTGATCGATGTTTCTCTCTCATTGATGTTTCTAACTTTCTATCCTTCTCCCTTCCTCTCTATAAAAAAATCTTTAAAAAATATATTTTTTTAAAATTACTGAATCTTTAAAAAATATTTTTTTTTAAAATATAACAAAAAGTATACCAAAGCTACCCTGGTCAGTGGTTAGAGCATTATCCCACACACTGAAAGGTCACAGGTTGGATTCTTGGCCCCAATCAGGGCACAAGTCAAAGGCAACCAGTGCAGGAGGCAACCAATCAGTGTGTCTTTTTCACATTGATATTTCTCTCTCTCTCCCTCTTCTCTCTCTCTTAAAAAAAAATTAATGAAAAAAAAAAAAATCCTTGTGCCCTAGCTGATTTGACTCAGTGGATAGAGCTTTGGGTCCCAGGTTCAATGCCAATCAAGGGCACATGTGGGTTGCAAGCTTGATCACCAGTAGGGGGCGTGCAAGAGGCAGCAAATTAATGATTCTCTCTCATAATTGATATTTCTCTCTTTCTCTCCCTCTGTCTTTCTCTCGGAATTCAATAAATATATATATTTAAAAAGAAAAATATATCCTCGGGTGAAATTAACAAAAACAAAACAATAAATTATTGAAAATAAAACAGAAAGTATACCACAGCTGCCCTGGCCAGTGCCTCAGTTAATTGAGATCATCCTGTAACCAGGAGGTGGCCAGTTCAATTCCTGGTCAATAGCAAATGCTCATGTTATAGCTCCATTAGCGGTAGGAGATGTGCAAAAGATAGCCTATCGATGATGCACTCTCACATCAATGTTTCTCTCCCACTCTCTCTCCCTTTCTCTCTAAAATCAACAAATGGCTCTTAAAAAAAAAAAAAAGTATACCGTCAAAACCGGTTTGGCTCAATGGATAGACTGAAAGGTCCCGGGTTCGATTCTGGTCAAGGGCATGTACCTTGGTTGCGGGCATGTCCCCAGTAGGGGGTGTGCAAGAGGCAGCTGATCGATGACTCTCTCTCATTGATGTTTCTAACTCTCTATCTCTCTCCCTTCCTCTCTGTACAAAATCAATAAAAAATATATTTAAAAAAAAAAAAAGTATACCTCAGCTGATCTCGGGACTATACTTCTCAGTGTTCTGTATCTGATGCCTGTAAAAACTTTCTAATTAAATTAGAAAACAAATTTAAAAAACCATTAATTCCTAAAATCAAGAAAATAGATTTATATAATATTCACTAGAGACCAGGTGCATAAAAATTTGTGCACTTGAGGGGGTGGAAAGTGTGCCTCAGCTCAGCCTGCACCCTCTTGCAGTCCGAAACCCCTCAGATGTCCGACTGATGACTTAGGCCTGCTCCTTGGTGGATTGGGCCTAAGCTAGCAGTAAGACATCCCTCTGGCAGCCCAGGAGTTTAAGCGGAGAGCGGGCCTAAGCCATTAGTCAGACATCCTTAGCACTGCCACATCCCACCACCGCTGCACTGGCCAGCCATGAGCTGGTTTCTGACTGAGCAGCGCTCTCCCTGTGGAAGTGCACTGACTACCAGGGAGCAGCTCCTGCGTTGAGCGTCTGCCCCCTGATGGTCAGTGTGCGTTACAGCAACTGGTTGTTCTGCCATTAGGATCAAATTGATTATTACCCTTTTATCATATAGGATTATGGCTATTTACCAATATCAATTTAATAAATATTTGAAAGCCTATCATGTGCATACACAGCAGATAAGGCCCCTGTTATCAATGAGCTTACACTGGAGTAGGTTAACATATGATGTATTTTAAAATTTAAATAGAAAGTAATGAGTGTTCTAAGGGTTACAGATCAATTGGAATTCAAATCAACGACTATTAATTGAAAATTCAATTCATTTTTTGACTATTTTTCTCTTCCGTTAGTTTTTCTTTGTCAGAGAAACTTTTCCTAGTGAACCAAGTCACAGTAAAGCCTCCCCTTTTGCTCTCTTAGCACCATAAACCCCTCCAGCACAGCACGTATCACTTTATCTGAGTATTATTTTTACCAGTTTCACATTTTTCTCCAGCACTGGTCTGTTTTGTTTTTTTCCAATTCTATATCCCATTGCCTAATATTAGTCTACCTATATTTTCCAGATGAATAGATCTGCCTCAGCAATCCTAGGTCCTAGAAAAATCAAGATGAATGTGATGAATAAAACTCAGTTCTTGGCTTAAGTGGGCTCAAAATATAAGCTTTTAATATAAGGATCCCAAGGGCTTAGAGTGAGATAATATGATGAAACTCACCATTATTATAGAACTCAATAATTATGCCTATATCAGACCTAAGAGAAATAAGAGCTTAGAAGAATTTATATACAGTTTTGACTAAGTCCTTGTTTCAAATAAAGATACTAGAAAGAGGAATAAAAAGGTAAAAAGGATGTACCTTTCCATATTTGCCAAAGAGGTTCTTCAAATCAGCAGCTTTGGTATTAGAAGAAAGTCCACTAACCCAGATATTTTTAGTTGAGCTCCCACTGCTCCCACTAGTACTACTTGTACTTCCTAGAATAGATTCAATTATCAGATAGTTAAGTATCTCAATTACAATTTTTAAAATAAAATTATTAGGACCATATTCTTTCAAAATTATAAAAACCTCTCATTTAATTTTGACAGTATAACTTACTATATCAAAACAAACCACAATAACAGGCAAAACAACCAGAGTGAGGAGACAAGTCTTAATACTGCATTCATCCTACCACATGAGTTTTAAGTGGATAAAAACATCAACCACATGATCTTGGACTTTTGCTGTTAAGTATAATGATTTATACTCTACCATGCACTACATAAATACAGGCAACCAGGAAACAGTCATCTAGGAATGAAAGACTGCTTAATTACCTATATGTACAATGATTTAGATTCTGAAAAGTTGGGGGTGCAAGAGGGAAATGTCAAAGCAAGAATTTAAATGTTTAATAACAAAGGCTAACCAACCATCTCATTTTCATTATTTATTAGAGAAAGAGTAAGAGAAAGTGGAAATTATATGCAGTTGGATAACTCTAGACTTAACCAAAGAAAATATTCTAAAACAAATTAATTACAAGAATAAAGACAGAAACCTTAACATTCATTAGATAGGTAAATGGTTATATGAGTGATTTCTGTATTCTTCCCATACACAAATTACAGTTTCACACATACAAATGCCAGATCTCAGACAATAGGCATAGTCACCCTTCAGTGCATTTCTTTAAATGTGCTGTTATTGAAGGGGAATTTTCATTCATTTGACTTTATTTGAGAACTAATTCTTACCTACTATAAGAGAAATAGTATATAAGCAATTAAAAGTAAGAATTTTAATAGCTTCAAGTTAATGTATGTAGAAAGAGATAAAATTTTCAATGTTTTTACAGACTATGTGCCACAATATTTAATTGAAGAATTAGTCAGTGTAGATTTATGAAAAGACAACATACACCTACCTGACTTGAATATTTTAAATATGAATGGTTGCTGCATTCCTACTCTTAAGGAACACATTTATCAAAAGGATCTATTTTATCTTTGAAATGTCAACCAGTTTGTGTATCTTTTTTGTTAACAGTAACATTTGGACCCATATATTTTTCTAATTACAGATTTAAACATTTTTAATAGGAGAAAGTTAACATTTAACCAAGATGAATTTAAAGGATAACAATAAATTTATTATATTTTACCTGTTAACCAAAACTGGAAGGGACATTGATATTGCAACTAATTGTAAATTAATAAATCAATAATAAGATTCCTAACTATTAAAATATGCCAAGAAAATACATGAAATAAACTATATAGGACATATGCCACTCCTTTTTGGGGGGCACTAAAGAGGTATTTTAGGATTTTGTATTACCTGAATGATGTTATTTGTTTTAAAAAACAGGAATATTTTTCATGTAGACAGCATATATACAAGATGAAACTATAGCTTATGGCCTTGAGATAATCAGACTTCCCAATAAAGATAAAGCAATCAAATATTGTACCTTTAAGCTTACAAGAATTTAAAAAAAAAACAACTATTTTCTTTTATAAGATTCCAAATAAGTCAAATTAGGAAGTAAACTCTGAAGAATTAAAATATACTGCATACTGGCTATGTTACTAAAAGTGTTCCCCGATTTGACGAATGAAAAACATAAAATCAGGGGAGAGTAGGGGTTATGGGGAGAAACCAACCAAAGGACTTGTATGCATGCATATAAGCATAACCAATGGACGCAGACACCAGGGAGGTGAAGGAATGGGGCATGAGTGGGGGCAGGGGGTAGGGGAGAGAGAAGAGACAATGACACATATGTAACACCTTAATCAATAAAGAAAGGGGGAAACCTCAAATATTAAAGATTGATTTTCTTTTAAATATTATACTCCAAAAATATCTACAACTATAATTTATAGCACATTTCCTATTAGAAAGAACAGGGATAAGGTTGTGGTGGTATGTAAGGGTTATAAATGATTGCAACTAGAAATAAAATACTTCTGCAATCAAAATGTAAAAACTGGAATACCTATCATATTAATATTCAATACAATTACTTGAAAACAATGTTAAAATCACATTCCAAAGGGATTTTTAGCATACTCAAATTAGTTTACAAATTAACTAAAAAGTAATGCTTCAATCACACCAAGAGTATGCTGTAGTCTAACTCCACAGTTTACACAAAGGCCATCCAAAATTTAGTAGGTCAATTTCAAGGACTGTCAAAGAAAGCAGATGCAATTACTCCTTTTATAATGAAAATATACAATTTATCATTTAAATAGAAAAAAATCCATTACCTTTGTCATCTTTGAATGATGTCTTGCTGTCTTTAGATTCCTTTGAAGAGCTAAAGAAGTAAATCACCAGAAAAAAAAATTGAAAACAAAAAACAAAGAAACAAAAATCGAACAGCTTGATATTGACTGTATTTCAAACTGGTATTATTTATACAAATTAACAATTTCAAAAGCCTAGATTAGGTTATTTGAACAAATGAGTCCCTTAGGATTCTTGCACTGATTTTCCCCAAGATGCCTGAAGATCTAGATTTTCTGATAATTCTATTCAGTGGATATATGGCCATCTTCTCCAGATTTCAGGACTGGGACTTGACTTCATTTGTGTTGTTAGGACTGATAGTTGTTCATTAACCATCATCACAAGGATTTTTAAAAATAAAACACAAAAAAATTGTCAATTTGAAAAAACAAAAACAAAAAAACAAAAAAAACAAATATATGCTGACAATTCGACAATGCAATCAGTAGAACACACTGCATATTACGAAGATCTTGAAAAAAAAAAATTAAGTAACTTATGACGGTCAAAAATATTATAGGCAGGATCATAAGCACTAATTACGGTCTTGAGCCACCCCCTTAATGTAGAGTGATCTTACTGAATGCTGGAATTCAGTATCGTAAAGAACCGACATAGAAAAACAAACCTCTTTGCTTGACCAGAGGCCCCAGTAGATGAGGGCCCTTTCTTCAAAGTATCCTTTTCTTTGTCTCCAGATTCTGCTTTCTTAGTACTTTCTCTGGCTTCCTTCTCGACAGGATCACCCTTCACGAAGTCTTCCTTCTTACCATCTTTTCGGTTCGCATTCATCTCATAATCCTTGCTTTCCTTCTCCGGGCTCTGTGCAATGGCGTCCTGCCCATCTTTTGGCTTACTTGCTTCGGAATCTGTAATTTTCACATTTTTACCTGTTTCTAGGAGGTCATCACCATCAAAATCCAGAGTGATGGCATCTTCAGCCTGGATTGTGACCGAGATGTTGTCATCCTCAGCTTCTTTCACAGTCGCATTAGCTTCCATCTCTTCATGAGCTGTGTGATCAGCCTCAGCTAGGCTCCCTTCTGAAGGAAGAGGTTTAGATACTTCTTGTGTACCATCACCAGAACCTGCTATATCTAAGAGGATTTAACAGGAATAAATATGGCAAAACAAGAAGTTTAAACAATTTCATATTCATAAGCTAGAATAGGACCTAGAAAATATAAAGCCAGTTATTAGCACTGATGGAAGGTTAGGAAAAAAACACAAGGGTATTAACTAATATAACAATCCTTTACCCAGGATTACTTATTCTTCATGGGGAAAAAATGATCTCTATATATAGATACCAAACAACAAAACTGAGAAAATGGTTTCATCCTGAGGATACCAGCTCTTCATTTCTGGTTTTAAGTTAATGGCATATGGAAGATTTTTCCCCCTCCAGGAGATAGTGATGAATGTGAAGATGTGTTATTCAATGTTCAAATCGTAGTCCTTGTGACCTTCAGAACTCCCATAGTGACGTCTTGAAAGGTCACAGCCTTAGGATATCAGTCTTCAAATTATTTCGGGCCCCGTCTTTTTCGTTCTTCTTTAATTCTTGGGCAGTCCAGAATCATATGGAAAACTGCTACAGAAAGCTCCAAAGATGGCCTGCTCCATTATGTTCAGGAAATTGGTTATTTCCAGTCTTCATCCTGCCCAGTCAGTCCCGTAGGTACCATTTTCAAGGATATCTTGCATTCCCCCAAAGAGAAAGACTTCAGGCATGAGCTTTTCAGTCAGTAGCTTTACTTCATCATTGCTTCGAGGCTTTTTATTTTGTCTTGCTTAGAACCCTGTTCCATGTCCTTTCTAGTCCCAAGTAGGATCCCTTGACCTCTGTCCAAGAACTCTTCCATAATTTTGTACTGACCACATGTATTGCTACAATCTCCCTGTAATTGTAATGGGTGAGACAGCTCTCCTAAACTACTAAACTGTCAGAAGACTGAAAGTTTGTTTAAGCAACAAACAAAAAGTCAGTCTCCTGGTCACCCGACACTTTTAGGAACAGTTGCATGCTATAACTCTAATAAGCACGTATGAGTTACTGCAGTGTCAGTCTTATGGATATAATAAAAAAAAATGGCATTGTCCACTACAGTAACTAATATGTACCGTTAAGTTATAACATATTTTAAGTGTGAAAGAAAATTAAAACCAATTGAAAAATAAAATAAAAATATTAACTTAATTTACTAAATTGATTAATTTGAAAATAAACGTATTTAAATAGTATTTCAAATAAATGCTTTATTTCATATAATTTAGTTTTTCTAAATATCAGCAATTTTGAAACTCTACTCATCACACATACCTTTCTCATTTTCTTCTTCCTCACCATCCTGAAATTCAAAGAATAATTAAATGTAAATTGAAGTCACTTAAAATTGGATTTTAGTAGTAGTATAAAATCAGTCAACTTAAATTGGTATATAATTTAACAATATTAATTAGGGATACCTATCACTATCAGATATAGAATATTCCAATAAAAATCAGAGCCCATTTAAGGAAATGGGTCACATGCCTGATATATGATTTTAGATAAGAAAACAGGCAAATCTATCAAAAATTAGGTCAATAATGCACTGGATAATTTTTCAGTATTCCAAGCTAGTTTATATAACCCAAATCTTACTCACATTAAGAGCTGCCAATAAAAAGAACAAACTGATTTTTTTTATGTAACTCAGTTTATTCTTAAGGCATACTGTTCAAAATAGTACAAGAAAATATAACCTCAAGACATATACTTTCATGAGGTTAAATGTACATTAACAGACAAATGAACAAAAAACACACTCCCCTTTTAGGCATCTAAGAATAGAAGAAGAAAGAATTACAAAACTAGTTAGTTTCAAATTATTTATTCCTTCTTATCTGTTAAAAATTAATTCATAGCGCTAGCTGGTTTGGCTCAGAGAAAAGTGTTGGCCTGCAGGTTTGATTCCGGTCAAGGCACGTACCTCGGTTGCAGGCTCGAACTCTGGCCCTGGTGTGGGCGCATGCGGGAGGCAACCAATTGGTATGTCACATCGATATTTTCTCTGTCTCTCCCCCCCTTTCTTTCACTCTCTCTAAAAATCAATGGGAAAATATCCTCAGGTGAGGCTTAACAAACAAACAAAAAAAGAATTCACAGTCGTTACATAGACAATGCCCAACCATTTTACTAATTTATAGTTAATGATTAAATAAGTTAATATTTGTGCTATAGGTAATGAAAACAAGGTAACCCTTATTTTTTTAAATGATTTTAAAATATGTGATTTTCACCTAATCTAAAATTAAGCATGTGTTAGCTTGAAACATGAATACTACAAAGGAAAAAATCTTATTTACACCAAACAAATACAGCAAAAATCTCTGAAGTAATCACACAAAGATAAAACCTACATTTCCCCAAGTTAAGTATCATAACGAATAAGCAAAGTAATATGCATTATAGTCCCAGTAATAAAAAAAATTAAGGGAAGTTTAAATTTACAACTTTAAAAAATAAAACCTGTGTAGAAGTAGATCATTTTCAGTCAAAGCAGTGTGAATTTACCACATACAAAGCTTTAGAGTAGTGCTTCTCAAACCTGGAGTCTGTACCAGTATCTGGAAGGGCTTATTAAAACATTGCTGGGTATCAACCCCAGAGTGTCTGATTCAGGTCTGGAGTGGGGCTTTAGAATTTGCATCTCTAACAAGTTTTCATGTGATGCTGATGCCGTTGATTCAGGGACTACAATTTAAGAACCACTCACATGCTTTAGAGTGATAGCCTAGCATTAAAAGAAGACTCACAGCAACATTTAACTGTAAACAAAACTTTAAATGGCATATTTATCTTACAACACAATTTCAGATTCATATAAAAGCATGTATTCCTTAAAACAGCAAATATTTTACCATATGCTCAAAATTACATTTGGATAACTACCATATTTCTAAGAAAGCATTTAAATAAAATTTTTACTTTAAGTTAACCCACAAATGCCAATGAAGGAATGACCAATTGTTTTACAACTAAAAACACCAAACCAACTAAGCCACAAGCTTAGTATGTAAAATAGTCCAAAATAAGTTGATTATTCATAATATTGTGAACCCTATTATTACATTACATTACATTATGTTCTAGTAATCTCAACTGTTGTATTGGAAATAGCTATTATCATTAAATTTCTAATCTGCAACATTTGGAAAGGAAAGAAAAATACTTTAACTTGGGTGGAACAGTAGGCTCTATCAGCACAGGATAAGATATGCTAGAATTATTGATACATCTTTTTCTCACAAACTCTCTTTGACTTTAGTAATTTATCTTGGAGGGTTAAGTGAACTAGAATACCTTAATTTTACTTTAAAGCAGAACAAATGAACCTAAAGAAGGCAAAATTTACAACTTTTGATGCCAACAGCACACCATTTGCAAGTTAATTTTTTAAAGACCAATATTGACAGATTCAAGAAACAAAAAGGCCAAATTATTTACTATTCTGAAAAATAATATTCATATACTGTGATGTGAAAAAGCCCTTTCTGCTATGGTTCTCACCAATTAGAAATCTTATTTCTAGCTACTAAACTGGAAAGGTTTGCCATATTTGGTTGCCAAAGGTTTAGATAACTATCATAATTATTCAACATGCTTTCTGAAGGATTTCATAACTTTAGTTTCTCTTTGCTACATATGCTTAAGTGTTCCTAGGAGAAGCCTCTCACCAAGCTTCTAGAACATAAAACCAATTACCATGGGGGTGAAGCACAAAAGCAACTAGGGTTAATAAAAAAGATGTGCATCAGTGCACATTTATTTTAGAGAAGTTATGTGGAGTAAGCATTGCACTATCTAAGTTAAACCAAAAGTCAAAAATAAGCATAAAGCCCTAGCCGGTATGGCTCACTGGATAGAGTGTTGGCCTGTGAACTGAAGGGTTCCAGATTCAGTTCTGGTCAAGGGCATTTGCCCGGGTTGTGGGCTCGATCCCTAGTAGGGGGCGTGCAGAAGGCAGCCAATCAACAATTCTCTCTCATCATTGATGTTTCTCTCTCTCCCTTCCTCTCTGAAATCAATGAAAATGTATTTTTAAAAGCCTAAAAATCCTTGAAATAAAGGATCAAATCATGAAATACAAGAAAGAAAATGGAAAAATTTTCCTGTCTAAATAATATATTTGCTCAAACATGATAATAAACCCAAAGCTTCTCTATTAAAAAAGAAAAGAAAAGAAAAAAAAAGCTTCTCTATTTCTTTCTATTTTATCCTAGGAGAAGCAATGATTATAAGAGACAAAAACAAGGCTAAGACTTATTTTTCAGTTAACAAAGTGGTTGCTATTTACCCATTCTGTTACCTTTTCCTAGGTTAATCTTATGACATGTACATTCTGTGTGCTAAGTAAGACAACTGCTTCTGGAAGGCCTTCTTTCTCCTGACTTGTATGTAAACACTGTATTCAGCTTAGCTGATTTAAAATATACCTTCAAAATAACCCTATCCATCTTGCAATATGCTAAAGATCATGGGAAGTATAAAATACCTGGCACATAATACACACTCAATAAATAGCCATTGAATAAATTTACTGAATAAATATAGTGGAGACACTGCTATTTTTAAGTGGAGGGAGTGAACTGAGGGCTCCTTTTTCAAATATATATATATATATATAATTAATTTTTTATAGAGAGGAAGGGAGAGGGATAGAGAGCAACATCGATGATGAGAGAAACATCGACCAGCTGCCTCCTACACAACCCTTTCTGGGGATGTGCTTGCAACCAATGTACATGCCCTTGACCGGAATCGAACCTTGGACTCTTCAGTCCATAGACCAATGTTCCAGCCAATGAGCCAAACCAGTTTTGGCACTGATGGCTCAGCTTTATACATGTAAAGAGTTTAGCCCTAGCTAGTTTGGCTCAATGGATAGAGCGTCAGCCTGTGGACTGAACGGTCCCATGTTCGATTCCGGCTAAGGGCACATGCCTGGATTGCAGGCTCGATCCCCAGTGGGGGTCGTGCAAGAGGCAGCTGATCAATGATTCTCTGTCATCATTTATGTTTCTATCTCTCTCTCTCTCTCCCTTCCTCTCTAAAATTAATATATTAAAAAAAAAAAAAAAGAGTTTAACTGCTACACTGTGCCAGTACCACAGAACTCACAAAAGTGAGTGGATTATTTAGTGAAAAGATTGGGCATCATGAGACCTGGATATTTATCTTGTATCTTGTCTTTACCACTGAAACAGTTTTACTTTGGTACTGTCATCTATCTAGATGAATTTCATCTTTAACATAAAGCATTAGAAAAAGCTTTGAGGAGATGGAGATAAATCTGCCTTTCAGAGGTATATAAACTTCATATGACAAAAAAAAGGGGCAAAGGCAAACAAAGAAAGGAACTCCCCAAAAACGTATATACACTTTAACAGCCTGGTAGCTCAATTTTGAAAAGAAAATGTATTTTAATAAACACTGCCTTTATAATTCATTATTCAAAGTGTATGTATACATTTTTGGGGGGACACCCTATATACATTATGTAATCATAGAAAACAGAAGATTGAGGCTTGAGGAAACTTTGAAGAATTAAAGCATTAGCAAATATAAACATTTTTGAGAAAAATTTCCAGAAAATTCTAAAGTAACTGTATCTTAAAGTTAGTAATACAAGCAAGCCCTGGCTGGTGTGGTTCAGCTGATTACAGCATCATCCTGTGTATCAAAGGATTGTGGGTTTGATTCCAGGTCAGGACACATATCCAGGTTGTAGGTTCAATCCCCTATGTGTATGGAAGGCAACCTATTGATGTTTCTCTCTCCCTCCTCGCCTTACTATAAAAAGAAATAAAAACCCTAATAGCACGTCAATACCAAATATATACACCAAATTCTATCTAGTATGAAAAATGCTAAAAATTTAAGCTTCAAGTAAAAACAAGAAGATTGGCTTTAAATAAATCTCTATGCTGAAACCGGTTTGGCTCAGCGGTAGAGCGTCAGTCTGCGGACTGAAAGGTTCTGGGTTCGATTCCGGTCAAGGGCATGTACATTGGTTGTGGGCACATCCCTGGTCAGGGGTGTGCAAGAGGCAGCTGGCCGATGTTTCTCTCTCATTGATGTTTCTAGCTCTCTATCTCTCTCCCTTCCTCTCTGAAAAAAATCAATAAAATATATTTTTTAAAAAAACCTCTATACAAATATATTGCCTAATTATACTTCTTTTGTTGTTGTTCATCCTCACTGGAGGATACTTTTCCACTGATTTTTAGAGAGAGGATACTTTCCCACTGATTTTTATTTATTTTTTCTACAGAGAGGAAGGGAGAGAAATAGAGAGCCAGAAACGTCAATGAGAAAGAAACATCGACCAGCCGCCTCCTGCACACCCCCCACCGGGGATGTGCCCGCAACCAACGTACATGCCCTTCACCAGAATCGAACCCGGGACCCTTCAGACCGCAGACCGACGCTCTACCACTGAGCCAAACCAGTTTCGGCCCCCTGATTTTTAAAGGGAGGGGAAGAGACCCAGAGAAACATCACTGCGAGAGACACATCGATTGGTAGCCTCCTGCACATACCAGGACCAGGGCTAGGATTGAGCCTGCAACTGAGGTATGTATCCTTGACTGGAATTGAACCCAGGGCCTGTCCACAGGCCAACGCTATACCCACTGAAAAAACTGGTTAGGGTGTTAAAAGCAAATAATAATCATGACTTTAAGATTTAGCAATAAGGGGATGGGTAAAGGGGGCTTCTTAGAATATATCTTGTCTTATAGCTTTTACTTTGGATAATTTTAAAATAAGATTAAATTTTTAAAAAATTATCTAAATACTGAAAATAAAATAAAACAAGTCAACCTAACCATGTATTAGCTGGTGTATAATAATATAGAGCACAACTGTACAAAAAAACGGTAAGCTGTTCATTCCTACAGGGGGACATCCTTATAAGAGACCTAACTGGAGGGAACAAAAATCTTAAATTATTTTCAATAATCATATTGATGTTGGTATTATCATCCTAAGATTGTTGTGGTTGTGCTGTGAAATAAATGAAGTCATTAACTGAGAAATATCCCCTGTGAACTCAAAACCTATTTTATCTTAAAAGTAAAACAAATAAAAAAAAACACATTCTTTTGCACTGTACATTGAAAAGCAATGGATAACCCTCCCCCGAGACTGCTGTCTTAAAATAGCATTTACCAGTCAAAGGAAAAAAATGGCTGATTTTAGGTCTAGAGCAGGAACTAGAACATTATTATATACCATAAAGCAAGGAGGCAATCAGACAATTAGTGTCATGTTGGAGAACACAAGAGCCAACTTGTAGAGGTATGTATATACTTTCAACATATTCCTCCCTGTCCCCCATAGTTACAGATGGGACAATTTGAGCATTAATAATAATAATACAATTAACTGAAATACATTAAATGCATTATAAAAAAATCCAATCACTGTTGGGAGATGCTAGTGAACCAGCTCATTATTCTGAAAACTAATAAATGAAAGGAAAAGAATCAAATATATATCTTGGCTTTCCTGTGTAAACTGTACCACTGAGAAACCAAATAGTAGATAAGAAATTTCTCTTTCTAAAAGCATTCTAGGTATTAAACAAGAAAAAAAATGACAGAATTAGAACATCACTATTTTAATCTATGGAGTAGGGAACAACGACTGGCACCATCACCAGAAAGATACCACCACACATTATGTGCATCCAAATGGAATACACTACCTGCAAAGTAGTTTTGTGTTGGGGGGAGAGGATGGAAGGAGGGAGCATCCTGAATTGGATAGCAAGCCTCTTGATCCTATAACCAACTAACCAATTTATAGGGAATGCAGTAGACAGAGGAATATGTGGAATGACTGAACAAGAATGTAATCAGCCATAGTCAGTTTGGCTCAGTGGACAGAGTGTCAGCCTGAAGGCTAAAGGGTCCCAAATTTGATTCAAGTCAAGGGCACATGCCCGTGTAGAAGGCAGCCGATCAATGATTATCTCTTTTCATTGATGTTTCTCTCTCTCCATCTCTCTCAAATCAATAAAAAAAATTTTTTTTTAAATGCAATCAGCTAAAACTCTGGGGAGGGAGGGTATTTGTGGGAGGGAGAGAGGGGGGCAAAAAAAAATCAATAAAAATATTTTTTTAAAAATGCAATCAGCAAAATCTACAGGGTTGGCAAACTACACTAATGCCTCACTAGTAATATTTTTATTGAAACAGCTATGTCCATTCATTTATACAGTCTAAGGTGCTCTCACACAACAGAGTTGAAAAGGTTTAACATAAACATATGACCTATGATGGCTAAAATATTTCCAACCCGCCCTTAAAAAAAAAAAAAAACTTCGACAGCCGAAACCGGTTCGGCTCAGTGGATAGAGCGTTGGCCTGTAGACTGAAAGGTCCCGGGTCAATTCCAGTCAAGGGCATGAACCTTGGTTGTGGGCACATCCCCAAGAGGGGGTGTGCAGGAAACAGCTCATCGATGTTTCTAACTATCCCTCTCTCTTCCTTTGTAAAAAATCAATAAAATATATATATTAATATAAACAAACTTGCCAAAACCAGTTTGGCCCAGTGGATAGAGCGTCAGCCTGTGGACTGAAAGATCCCAGGTTCTATTCCGGTCAAGGGCATGTACATTAGTTTTGGGCACATCCCCAGGAGGGGGTGTGCAAGAGGCAGCTGATCGATGATTCTCTCTTATCGATGTTTCTAACTCTATTCCTCTCTCTTCCTCTCTGTGAAAAATCAATAAAATATATATTTAAAAAAACAACAACAAAACTTCAACAACTCTTACTCTACAGCAGTGTTTCCCAAAGTGTGGTATGCGTACCCCCAGGGTACGGGAAGAGTTTGGTGGGGGTACGAGTTGCACCAGAGTTTGGTGGGGATATGCACTGCACCGTGCTTAGCTGTGCCTAATTCTACGTTCTCATGAGTACGAGGGGTACTCAGCGTTACGAAAATTATAGAAGGGGTACACATATGTCAAAAGTTTGGGGAAAACTCACTGCTCTACAGGATAAACTCAATTTCTTCAACAAATAAAAGGGGAGGGGAGATGGAAGGAAAAACTTAAAGATGAAAAGATCTGAAGTTATTTTGTCCTTTTGAAAAAATATTTCACAGCCAAAACCGGTTTGGTTCAGTGGATAGAGCGTCGGCCTGCGGACTGGAAGGTCCTGGGTTCGTTCTGGTCAAGGGCATGTACCGTGGTTGCAGGCACATCCCCAGTAGGGGGTGTGCAGGAGGCAAATGATCGATGTTTCTTTCTCATCGATGTTCCTAGCTCTCTATCCCTCTCTCTTCCTCTCTATGAAAAATCAATAAAATATATTAAGAAAACAAACAAAACTAACCTTCACTTTCATATCTAAATGTAAACCATGGTACTCTATATAAGTTATATACTCATCCAGAAGACAGTTATAAGAATTAAAAAAAAATATTTCACAGTTCATGTTTTATTTATTTTTTTAATAAATAATTCTTTATTGTGGAAAGTATTATACATGTCTCCTTTTTCCCCCCATTGACCCACTCCAGCATCCCCCAACCCCTCACCTCCATCCCCCAATCGCACCTCAGGACTTCACTTCCCCATTGTTTGTGGCCATGCATATTGAATAGCTATTTTAATTAATCAAAATGTGCAGATCTTATTTGCATCTGGATTCAAACAAAATCTAATTTTTAAAAAACTATAGACAAGCCGAAACTGGTTTGGCTCAGTGGTAGAGCGTCAGTCTGCGGACTGAAAGGTCCCAGGTTCGATTCCGGTCAAGGGCATGTACATTGGTTGCGGGCACATCCCCGGTAGGGAGTGTGCAGGAGGCAGCTGGTCGATGTTTCTCTGTCATTGTCATTTCTAGCTCTCTCTCTCCCTTCCTCTCTGTAAAAAACCAATAAAATATATATATATTTAAAAACAAACAAAAAAAACTATAGACAAGCATTTGGATACTAACTATAGTTGATGAAATTAAAATCTTACATTAGGAGTGAGTGATAATATAAAAAAATAAAATAGGCCGAAACCGGCTTGGCTCAATGGATAGAGCGTCGGCTTGGGGACTGAAAGGTCCCAGGTTCGATTCCAGTCAAGGGCATGTACCTTGGTTGCGGGCACATCCCCAGTGGGGGGTGTGCAAGAGGCAGCTGATCGATGATTCTCTCCCATTGATGTTTCTAACTCTCTATACCTCTCTCTTTCTCTCTGTAAAAAAATTAATAAAATATATTTAAAAAACAAAACAAAACAAAAAAACCATAGCCTCATCAGCATTTTGAAGGCAAGAAAACTGCAGGAAAGAAGGTGTGACCAGAGGCAATCAGCTAAGCCATCCATGACCATAGCCGCACTTCCAGTAGGTATTACAGTAAGGAAAAAAACAGGATTTATCACTATTTTCCCTAAATCCAGTAAAGAGAGGAACCCCTATCACTATTTGAAAGTATACTATTTAAGAAGGAGATAAAAAGGGGTTCTTGAATACAGATATGAGGAAAAAGACAAAGGATAATTAAAAAAACAACAACTGCAGAAAATGAACTATAAATGTCTTAAAATGTATACTATATGTGCTTAAAATGTGCTTAAAATGTATACTATATATATATATCACCATATGCCAAAAACATATTTTAACACACAACAGAAAAGCAGTCATTTCAACACACATATACACACCCCAAGTACATGTTTTGATTTTTATATTAACCCCATGATAGGAGTTTTAAAATTAACAAAAATGTAACTAAAACTTTAAAAGGGATTAGTACTTTTAAATCATTTATTTTATATCAAAGTGACAAAAAAATCAAGCAGAGTGTGGACTTCTCACAAGACTGGTAATCAGAGTTATGTTTTTTAGAAAGGATGGACAGTTTTTATGTTTATCCTGAAAATGGTAGAAACCTTATGATAACTTCTAAATATCTTTGTAGCAACAGAAATTTCAGCTGTCAGCTTTGAGTATCTTTTATATACTACATTAAATAACTTAATATTCAATTTAAGGCAGTTTTATGAGTTAGAGAATTACAAAGTCAAAATAAGATTCCTTCCAAGCCCTTCCACCCACAATATCAAATTCATAGACTAGATGTAAACTTACTTGGGCTGTTAGAAAGGTATCATCTTCACCTTCTTGAGCTTCAATTTCCTAAGTAAAAGGGTATACAATAGCTGCTTTATAAGATATCTAGGTAACATGAGAATGCTTTTATTCTATACCCAATTATCACTGGTCTTATTTACTCACAATGTCTATGATACTGTTGATGCAAAGTTAATGCTTCGCAATTCAGACTACATTTTTTATGCCAAAATAAAAACAATCACACTGATAAAGAATAAGAAAAATCTCTTTCTTAAGGCCTTCATTTATTAGGCGAGGTAGAATATCAGTGTTTTAAGTGTGACTAAGCACTAACAGCACTGACTTACTAATCCACTGATTTACTTAAGACCGTGGTTGGCAAACTGCAGCTCGCAATCCACATGCGGCTCTTTGGCACCTTGAGTGTGGCTCTTCCACAAAATACCATGCCTGGGTGAGTCTATTTTGAAGAAGTGGTGTTAGAAGAAGTTTTAAAAATTGGGCTCTCAAAAGAAATTTCAATTGCTGTACTGTTGATATTTGACTCTGCTGACTAATGAGTTTGCCAACCATTGACTTAAGACCTACCACTAGCTCTAGCACACTTCAAAACAAAACAAATGGTCTGTTTCATTCAAGAAAAATATTTTTAAAATTGTATGCTTTTAAATTATACTTTTATAAGTAACCTCCCCATCCTTGATAATACATAAGGAAATGCAAATTAATATATTTTATCCACTAAAGTAGCAAAAAATAAAATGATCATCAGGTAATGGTGGCAAGGTCAGAGCAAAATTAGTACACTCATTTACAGTTGGGTAAAAAACAACTTAAATGTCCCAAATTAAGGGATTGGCTATTAGACACATAGAAAGCAGTTTAATAAATTATGATATAAAACACAGATTAGAAAGTCCTTATGTGGAAATATTATATATAATAAATACCAATTATTTAGAACATTATATAGAATAAATAACTACTAAGTAAAATATATACATGTGTTGAAAATAAGTAAAATTAAAGAGGTCTTTTAAGGCAGGATTTTGTAAAATAAAAATGTATTTTTTAAATGTATTTTTGAAAATTCTGAGATTTCCAGATTGAATTAGAAAAAAACAAAACAAAACACCTTATTATTTAGTACTTAAATCATCTGAGTCATGTTTTAAAAAAACTGGCTAGCCGAAACCGGTTTGGCTCAATGGATAGAGCATCGGCTTGGGGACTGAAGGGTCCCGAGTTCGATTCCGGTCAAGGGCATGTACCTTGGTTGCGGGCATATCCCCAGTAGGGGGTGTGCAAGAGGCAGCTGATTTATGACTCTCTCCCATCGATGTTTCTAACTATCTCTCTCCCTTCCTCTCTGTACAAAATCAATAAAATATATTAAAAAAATAAATAAATAAATAAATAAATAAATAAATAAATAAATAAATAAACTGGCTAGCCGAAACCGGTTTGGCTCAGAAGTAGAGCATTGGTCTGAGGACTGAAAGGTCCCAGGTTCGATTCCGGTCAGGGGCATGTACATTGGTTGTGGGCACATCCCCAGTAAGGGGTGTGCAAGAGGCAGCTGGTCGATGTTTCTCTCTCATCGACGTTTCTGGCTCTCTATCCTTCTCCCTTCCTCTCTGTAAAAAATCAATAAAATATATATTTTTAAAAACCAACTAGCTAAAGACCTGACTTTCGATGTCCTCTTTCTCTATATCTTCAATTGCTTCTGCCTCAATTAATTCACGAGTTTTCTTGTTTTCTTCTTTGAAAAGTAACTCCTTCAAATGCACAGTCTCCTCTTCATTTTCACCAGACTCTTCAGCATCCTTTAGTTCATCATTTCCATCTTGTTCATGTGCCTCTTGATTCTCCAATTCACAGTCCTTTTAATGGTAAGAAAATTTGGTACAACTAGAGGCAAAGTAGTTTAGGCTAGCCACCGAATGTTTTTGGTCATTGATATAGCTACATGTTTTAAATTTTACCATATGTTGACATTACTTCCAAAGTCAAAGTTCATTCATTTTATCTTATACATTAACTATGTCTTTAAAAATAGGGGGTGGGGAGGAGGGAGTCTAATATCAAAGTCATTCCAAAGTCAGAACCACATTCTGAGTTCCCAAATCTCTCATAGGGAACTACACATAAATTGGATAGCTACTAGATTTGCTCTCAAATTCCAGTTACTTAATATTTACCAACTCACATCCTAGGGCTATTGAAGAAAATATGGTTTCAAACAAAAGACTTGGCCCAGACCGGTTTGGCTCAGTGGATAGTGTCGGCCTGGGGACTGAAGGGTCCCAGGTTCAATTGTAGTCAAGGGGATATACCTTGGTTGTGGGCACATACTCAATAGGGAGTGTGCAGGAGGCAACTGATCAATGTTTTTCTCTCATCAATGTTTCTGGCTCTCTATCCCTTTCTATTCCTCTCTGTAAAAAAATCAATAAAATATATATATATATATTTTTTTTTTTAAAGAAATGACTTGATTTCTTCAGGTGCCATAGTTTAGTTTAACTTCAAAGACCCTGGAAATCATATACTATACCTAATGTTTATTTCTATTTAATAAGGAATCTCAACTGTTAAATATCTGTTCTTGAAAAATATTCAAATGATTAACTTAATGTATTTGTCTTGAAATCTATCACTATGCCACAATGCTAATTAGGCAAGGGAACTCTGGCTGGGATTATCTCTGAGGCTATGTCTATTGTCTTTCAAAGTTTATAGGTACATGATACTTCAGTACAAAGAAAAGCCGCCATCTGTTTAGTTTCCTCTTTAACTACAGAAAAAGAACTGAAAGCAGTGAACATTCCTTCCTCCTTTCCTATTCTTACAGAAACCTAGTAGATTTAAGAAAAGGTTTCTGGGTTAAAGAAGAAAATGGCAGGGGCATGACTATTAATCATTCATAACTGAACTACAATGAGGGAACAGAAATTTCTGAGAGGCGCAGGCAAAAAGAAATATGATTGTTTCGGGATGTGGAGTTCTTAGGGAACAGGGAATTTCCAGGACAGGCTTTGATCAACCTTGTCACATTATGAGTGGAGGAACATTGGGGACTGAAAGCAGAATAAGCGATTATATGATAATATAAAAATAAGTGCAAATAAGTAAAAAGCAAGGAGAGTCACTGAGGGAGTGTCAACTATTTTAAAGTGCCAACTTTGATCAATCTCCTCACTTAAAAATGGAAGCAATGCCTGCATTACTCATATATCTAGGCAATAGGTGATACTGACCCAACACTACTATAAATTACAAAATGACCAACTCTGGAAGAAAAAGAAAGTATATTACCTTAATTTCTACCAAATACATCATATATTCTGATACTTCCAAAGTGAAAAGGAAATATAAAAAGGAAACTGAACATATAAATAGGATTGATTTAAAAAAAAAAAAAAAAAAAAAAAAAAAAAAGAGAGAGAGAGGGGCCAAAACCGGTTTGGCTCAATGGATAGAGCGTCGGCTTGGAGACTGAAGGATCCCAGGTTCGATTCCGGTTGGGGGCGTGTACCTTGGTTGTGGGCACATCCCCAGGGGAGTGTGCAGGAGGCAGCTGATCGAGGATTCTCTCTCATCATTATTTCTAGCTCTCTATCTCTCTCCCTCCCTCTCTGTACAAAATCAATAAAATATATTTTTTTAAAAATAATAATAATAAAAAAATTTAAAAAAGGGGGGGGGGACGCTCTTTTGGCTCTAGCTGGTTTGGCTCAGTAGATAGAGACTTGGCCTGTACTGAAGGGTCCTAGGTTCGATTCTGATTAAGGGCACATGCCTGGGTTGTGGGCTCCATACCCAGTAGGGGCATGCAAGAGGCAGCCAGCCAATCAAAGATTCTCTCTCATCATTGATGCTTCTATCATTTTTTCCCTCTCCCTTCCTCTCTGAAATCAATAAAGATATATATATATATATATTTTTTTTTTAAAGCCCTTTTGTTCTGACATTATAACCAGATTCATTTAATAAACATGAAGGTATCCTTTGCAGCACATATAGAAACAATACTATTATGCTGAATAAAAGTATGTATCTCCTTGCAATATTTCAAATGATTATAAGTTATCTATGAACTGAAGAACTGAAAGTTGGACATTTAAAAATTAAAAGGTTTTTTACTCAGTCATATGTTCTTCCAGTTTATGGATATTTTTTGCTTATGAATATAGTCACCAGTGAAGACAACCTGAGAAAATAAGAACAAGGGCACAAACCTAAAGGAAGACATACCACAATGAAAACAACAAAGACACTAAAGAGCTCTTAAGGGCTCAAAGAAAAGCTAATTACAGGCACTTGATCTTCTGTTTTCATGGAGCCCTGGGCAAATATTGCCTAAAATTATCTAATTTCAGGGTTAACTCCTCAACAAAACAATTTTTTTTCTTTCTGTGACTGCTTGTAAAAGTGCAAGGTACAAAGTGTGAGGTGTGTGTGGTCTGTGTGTACCATGGGAAAGGCAGAGAACTAGACAGGAGATGGCAGGTGAATGGACATACCGAATTTTCCGGCGTATAAGACGACTTTTGAACAGAAAAAAAGTCAACCGAAAATCGGGGGCAAAAGACCAAAATTGCAAAAAAATTACCTGCAGATCTTGACGGCAAAGTAAGTCTTTGAAGTGGGGGTAGTCTTATACAGTGAATTTAGGCCTAAACCTGTTTTAACTGTAAAATTAGGGGGTTGTCTTATACGCCGGAAAATACGGATAAGCATTCTTCATGGTGGGGCATACAGACTTGGGAGTAACAATATGGCCTAACTCTACACAGAAAACAAAATGTTTGAAGATATGAATGTACACAATTTAGAGGAACTATGCTCAGTAAATAATTCCTGCTAATGCCACACTGCATAAAACCTAATGATCAGTATGTATCAAATCATGTTTCAGTCAACTGAAAACAAAACATTAACTACAATTAAAAAAACTGGCACACTGCCAATTAAAATTATATACATTGTTTCCCTAGCTGGTCTATTTCAAATACATTCTTTTTAAACCAAAAAACCTGTCTTATTTAACTTTAAAGCACAAAATAAATTTCTTATTTTATATTTACAAAGTAGCAACACAACAAATTTTCTATTTTAAAGACTACATTAATCAGGTTCTGTATATTATATAAAAGCTAAATGCAGAAGGCAGATTAAAAATAAATTATTGCCCTGGCAGTATGGCTTGGTTGGAGCACCAAACTGTACACAGAAAGGCCACAGATTCGATTCCTGATCAGGACACACATACCAAGGCTGCAGGTTCAATCCCCAATCCGGGTAAGTGCTGGAGGCAACCAATCGATATCTCACTCTCACATGGATGTTTCTTTCCCTCAACTCAATAGAAGCGTGTTCTCAGGTGAGGATTAAAAAAGAGAAATATTATCACCCTGGCCGGTGTGGCTCATTTGGTTGAGCATCATCCAGTGCAGTGAAAGATCAGTGGTTCAATTCTGGTGAGGGCACATACCCAGATTTTGAGTTCAATCCCCAAAGTGAATACACGAGGCAATCAATCAATGTTTTTCTCTTACATTAGTGTTTCTCTCCCCCGACCCCCAACTCCTTCCCCCTCTCTCTAAAATCAATAAAACATATTTAAAGAAGAAAAAAAAGTCCTAGCTGGTTTGGCTCAGTGGATAGAGCAGTGGCCTGTGGACTAAGGGCTCAGGTTCGAGTCTGATCAAGGGCACTTGCTTGGGGTGTGGGCTTGATCTCTAGTTCAATTCCGGTCAAAGGCACATGCCTGGGTTGCAGGCTCGATCCCTAGTGGGGAATGTGCAGGAGGCAACCGGTCATTGACTCTCTCTCATCATTGATGTTTCCATCTCTCTCTCTCTCCTTTCCTCCCTGAAATCAACAAAAATATATTTAAAACAATTAAACAGAATAAAGTAAAAAAAAAAAATGATCAATATCTTTCACTGTGGTACCTTTTCAAGGAACTAACATATCAATTGTTCTGTAACTGTTCTTCTGGCCCCTTTGTCTCAGATTTCTACTTAAAAACTCACACAAATATTATTTTTAGCTTTATTCTCATTTTACTATAGATAACATTATTGTATTTTTCAACTATAAGAATTAATGAGATTGACAAGATTACATAAGTCTATATTTTACCTACATACTTCAATATCGTTCAAGTAAAATGCATGAGTTCATCATGCAACATGCTAACATCTTAACCTGAGTAATTAACACTTTACCTTGACAAAAGCATCATCTTCCATAGAAGCATCTCCACTCAACTCATCTGCTTCCTGTTTTTTACCTGTGAAAGAAGGAAAATGGGCTAACAACCAATACTTTATGAGTAAAAACCATCCAGAGATCTTTACCCCATAGTACTATTTTCTACTTCCAATCATCTAAGCCAATGCCAACTGCTTCAAAACCATCTGCTCAAAGCTGCCCAAACAAAAAAGCTTTAACAATGTCAGGCAGTTTAGTAAAATAAACTAATCCTACATATGAACCTATCCTCTTAACTGACTTGATATATCTGATACATTTTTCTTCACACCACTCAAACTGTCTAGCTTCAATTCTTCCAGAAGCAGCAGAACCTTTTAATGATAATCTATTTAAACTCAGATATAACCAGATGTCTGATAGCTAAGCTCAAGACTCATATCCTCCAGCAAAGCCTTCCCTATGTTCTCTTCTTCAATAAGCTTTCTCTGAAATAAAATTCTCAAACTTAATCTACACCTTACAATCCATGGGTTGATTACATATCAACTACCTTACACTCTCAAGTACATCTCACTTCACTACTACAGAAGAAATTCCTTAATTACAGTGACTGCCCTTAGATTGATTTTGTAGTTCTCCAAAGACCTACATATAAATAGTGCAGAGCACTTAATGTAATGACCAATTTAACTGATTAGGCAAGTAGACATTACTTCAGAATGAGAACTGCTAATAGCTTCCAGAGACTACAGGTCTTCCAACACAGCCCTCATCTTCAAAACTTTAAGCTGGTGGTGGAAACTAGAAAATGTTCTCCACACCAAAAAGCAAAAAACGTTTCTCACAGAGCCAATGCTGTTTTCATATTAGTTCACAAAACCTACTTCATAGCCCATAATGAAAAGGAAATACTGTTAAAAACACAGCTGCTGGGACCACAGCATTAAAAAAAATTTTTTAATTCATTTATTTTGAAATGTGAGTGAATATTCTTTCCCAAGGTCAGCTAGTCAACTTTTCCCTTTGCCTAAAACAGGAACTGCCATGTATCTATTTTCAAGCGTCTGTGACCCCAGTCTAGCTGTGAGGTAACTATTTTAAAAAATTAGGACACTTCCTTTCCCTAGCCTCCTCACCAGCATGTCTTCCATCTGCTCCCAATTCGAATGATGATAAAAAGGGAAACAAGGTACAGGTCCTTTCAAGTATATGAACAAGATTAAAAGTGCGGATTTTCCTTTTACCCTCAGAGGTAAACGAGGGCTCGTCCCTGTCCATAAGGATTTGTGTGGGAAAAGAAAGTGTGGAGCTCAGTGTTCCATTCCTATTTGGAATGCTGATGTTTGTAGTTTAGGGAAAATATAAATTAGAAATTACTACAAAGGTAATGACTAAAAAAGCCTATTCATCAAAAAGTTTTTTAAATCTATTTAAAAAATTAAATAAAGATGTCCCTTCCCCAAAAACAAAAGGAGAAAAACAGTATAGGAGAGAAAGAGTGCATTAAATCCCATCACATTTAGAGAGAGGAAGTTCCAAATAAAGAAAACCTTAAAGATGCTATTTTGTAGGAGAAATAAGCTTTTTAGTAATATAGGAAGAGTGAAGAAAAGTTCTCTGGGGGGAAAAATAAATGGAAATTATACTTCAAAAAAAATAATAAAGGTATTAGAACCTTTCTCTACCCGCTCACACCCCAACACACACCATCCAATAATCTACAGAATAGGGCTTTGGGGGGACTCCTTCAGATCATTTGCAAATACTAATTACTCCTTACAATAATAAACTACAATTTGCAAAGCACTTTAACAAGTTCAATTGAGACCTAGCTGGTTAGGCTCAGCCTGTGGACTAGAGTCCCAGGTTCAATTCCGGTCAAGGGCATCAATAAAAATATGTATATATTTTTTAATTGATTTTTTTACAGAGAGGAAGGGAGAGAGATAGAAAGCTAGAAACGTCGATGAGAGAAAAGCATCAACCAACTGCCTCTTGCACACCCCCCACTGGGGATGTGCCCGCAACCAAGGTACATGCCCTTGACTGTAATCGAACCCGGGACCTTTCAGTCTGCAGACTGACGCTCTACCACGGAGCCAAACCAGTTTCGGCTATGTATATATTTTTAAAATTCAATTGCTTTTTCCAAGCACCCTATGGGCAAGTATTCACAATTATACAAAAGAGAAAATGGGCCTGAGAAGTTAAGTAGCTTGCCCAAAGCTAATAAGTGGCATTCTCAGCACTGGGAGCCAAAGCTTCTCATTTCTAGTCCTAAATTCTTTCCTCTACATCTTACTTTGACCTACTTAAAAGGCATTATTCTAGTAAGGAGTGGTTAATGAGCTCAATTTAAAGATATTATCTTTGAAACAGCAGCTCTCAGCAAGACAAACTGCATATATGATGCACACTCCATGGTGAATTTCACTTGCTTTAGTTTAAAGGAAAATCAAATTATGCTACAACAAAAACACCAGCAACAGTCACTACCTCTGCTTGAGGTGGCTTCCTCAGTCTAGGCACTAGGATAAATGCTATATATACATTATTTTATCCTCAAAACTACTCTGAAACTATATCCCAATTTTACAAAAGAGGCAACTAATGCTAAAAAGTTAATCAGATTACAAAACTAGTAAAGGCAGTGCTCCAATTTAAATCTAGCCCTCAAGTCCAGACGGTTTGGCTCAGTCAATAGAGTGTGGCCTGCGGACTTGAGGATCCCAGATTCAATTCCAGTCAAGGGCACGTGCCCTAGTTGAGGGGCTCCATCCCCAAAGGGATCATGCAGGAGGCAGCCAATCAATGATTCTCATCATTCATGTTTCTGTCTCCCTCTCCCTTCCTCTCTGAAATCAATAAAAATATATTTAAAAATAAATAAACCTAGCCCTTAAAACCCACAAAACATTAGATCTTTGAGTAACTACAGTATGCCAGTTGTTAAAATATTATCTTTTAGTATACACAGAGGTCCCATAAGCCACATCTATAAAATTTTTAAATGCAAGACTCACTGAGATTACTAACTTGCCCCATGACAAACAAACAATAAGAGGCGGAGGTACACAAAAGGATCCAACTTCACTAGCCCTTACTGTTTCAACAGTTGAACCACAGGAATGCACTGGATATCTAATGTGTCCTCAGCTTGCAAACATAAAAGTCACGAGGACAAGATTTTCAGCATACAGTGACGAGACTGTGGCTATAACCTGATAGGACATTGAAGCTACTATAAGGGTACATAGTGTTTTTAAAAAATTGCAACTTTACCCTCTAGTTATGACTGCTTTCATAAATCTTTAATTGTGGGTTTGTTTTACACATGTTGAGTTAGAAACTATAACTACTTCCTTTATGAAAAAGTAGCACTTCCCCCCAAAACAAACAAACAAACAAACAAACAAACTAGTATTTTAAAAAGCTAGGAACATTCACCATCCAACTCAGACCCTAGCACGATGCTATATAATGAGCATATACTCAAGCATTCTGTATCTCCTGATTGGTAATGGAGTTAAGGCCTGAGTTGGATGCTAGTAGCAAACAAGGGCTGGGTTTCAGTTCAGCCCTCAACAGAACAAAGAGGTGACATGCCAGTCAAACCAGCACGGTGCGCAGACCCTCCTGTCAGTAAGGACTTCAAAGCACATCTCTAGAGTCCTTTCTCTTACAATGTCACAGATGAGAACTGAAAAGAAAGCCCAAGTCTCCCTTAAGTTCCAACAAGCAACACCATGTGAATAACCATTTTTATCCCTATCTCCCATTGAAGCTTACGCTATCAAAGCTTCTATGGCAACCTAACCAAATCATCTTTGTCCTTCAAGGAATCTGTCATGTGCCACAAAAATGTGAACTGGTCCAAAAGACAGTAGCATGACTGGGAGGAAGGAGTTAACTGAAAATTTCACGAAGGCTGAAGCCTAACTTTAAGGTTCGAGGAACAAAACTAGAAAACAAAATTGAGCAATCTAGATAAGCCAAGGGGGGGGGGGGGGGAAGGAAGCAAATGAACTTATCACACCTTATTACAGCAGCAACATATAGTATTTTGAAATTATATATAATACACTGCAATGTTTTTTGTGTGATTTTAGAGACTAAAATAAGATGGCAAAGTAAAAATATATATACTAAAAAAAGGAATGAAATTAGAAACATTTCATTTATGAACATAAATTTGTATAGGTCCACAAATCCTTAAGGAAACTTGGGACTTGACATGTTTCAGAATAAAGAATTTTCAGGTTTTAAAAGAGTACAATGGTATATAGATATATAGATATAGATATATGTAGATATATATCATTACTTATTTAAACTTTCCCAGTGGCTTCTGAAAGTATCTCTCACAGAAATATTTGTGCAATAAAATATATATATATTCACACCAAATGGGATAAATCAAGACGATAACTAGCCTCACTTTTGCCACCAACCTTAATATAAAACTCTCAGTTATCAGAGCTTTTGTATTTCAGAATTATAAAAAAAGGATTCTGGATTATAAATTGGTTTTCTCCTCCAAAGGCAAATTGGTCCTTACGAAGCTTGCCATTTTTCTTTGCAAGTTCAGAAATAACTCCAAAACAAAAAGAAGAAAAAACCCCACTTAATTAATAAAATTTTGCCAAGAACCTGTGGCTTGAGTAACTTTCCCCCTTAAACAGTTACAGAAACTCTGAAATATAGAAAATATTTAGTCATAAAATTTCATTTGGGAGAAGTGGGAGAAGATTTAGGGTTTAAGCCAAATTGAGTAACATTTAAATGTTTCCAGGAACAACCTCTCCCAACTACAAGCAGTATCTTAAAATAATTATAGATTGTGCCTTGTGTTAATTGTTTACATATGTGTTTTGGTCTCTTTTATTAAACCAATATTTTACTAATGAAATCATTTTTCTAAAAGACCTTGTACATAGTCTTAAACACAGCATTCACCCAATAGCTCATTTTATTATTTTTAATCTACAGATAATTCACACTCAATATAATAAATCTGAAAAACAAAAGTATATTTTTTTAAAAATCTCTAATTTTGTCATCTAAAGATAACAGCTA